ACCACAGGGATGGGCTGAAGTCAGGATGCCTGAGGGTGATGGAGGGTCGATGGAGGATGCATTCTAAAGAACACAGGGAGAAGAGATGGGTTTGTACAGCATCACCCACCATCCAGGCTGAAATGCGGGAATTGCCTGCTTACTTTGGCTGTAAAGGGTAAAACAATATGGGACCCTGATGTTAAAGAAAGGAAGTTATAGCTGTTTTTCAGGTCAGTGGTGTGGCTGGTGGGTAAGGATGGAGGGTTAGCCCAGGGCAGCTGGGCTGCAACTGCCACCACTGGAAGGGCAGTCTCAGACCTGATGCTACAAGCAGCCTGTCCTGGTGTGTAAGGGATGAGAAAGTGAATGAAGGGGAGGAAATCACTTGTTTCCAGCTTCTGACCAAAACCAGGGCCTACTAGAAACACAGTGGCTCTTTCCAGTGGGAAACTGGCAGCTGCCTTTTCTGGCATCATGAGATGTGAGATAAGGGCCGGTGTTTTTTCCTCCTGTAATCAATGCTTTGTTTGGAGATGTTTGGAAATACCTCATGAGCAGGTTCCTTGTTGTAGAGCAGTAGACGGTGCAAACAGCAGCGGAGAGGGCAGCGGGGGCTCTGTGTCACGCCGTGGGAGGTGATGCAAAACGTGTGGCTCCACCGTTGAGCAACTTCCCGTCAGCAGGACACGTCCACGCCACCCGCCCGGCTGTGCCTGAGCACTGTCACACTCCTGTCACTCGCTGTGGTGAAAGGAGCAGGATTTGGCATCCTTGGTCAGCCCCTCGCAAGTTGGTGACACTCTGTTCTTGTCTCTCAGGTATTGGCAGGGTGATGCCAGCTTGATCCAGAGCCATGTCCAGGTACCTGAAGCACTTCACGGTGGTGGGTGATGACCCAGTGCAGTGGAGTAATGACTATCAGAAATGGGAGGAAGAGGAGGAGGATGCTGGGGAGAAGCATCCAGATTCGGAGATCAAGCTGGAGCCCACCAGGAGACATGTATCCTTCCAGGACATGATGAAAAAGCTCTTCAGCTCCCGTAGGTTTCAGGTGAGGCAGAACAAACCCGGGCTGAAGGGAGATGAGGGTGAGATCTGGCCAAACGTACTTGTGACAGAAGAACTGATGTGGGATGGAGCTCGTGAGCAGTCACAGTGCTGCAAAAGAGCGGCTGCTGCCTCTCAGCTGAGCTGTCCCATGGGAACACAGTGCTCCGCAGCTGGTGCAAGTGTTTTCCTGAGCAGTGACAAGCTCCCCAAGACACCCCCTGTACCAAGCACTGGGCAATGGCTGGGTTTGGTGGGCACCCAAGAGTTTTTATGTGGGTGAGACTTTGCAGGAATAAACTCACTGACCCAGAGCTGCAGGAGTGGAAGTGCTGGGTGGGAGCAGTAGAAAGGTCCATCAAGTACAGCCAGCTGAATCGGGGACCCAGGGCATTGAGGCATGTTCAGCTGAAGGCTGTAGTGGCTCCTCTTGCTGATCTGTCTGTGCTGGGTGGGAGTTTATATTGGTTTTTCTCCTCCAACAGATCTTGATTGTCTGTTTGGTCATCCTGGATGCCTTGTTGGTTCTTGGGGAATTGCTTATGGACTTGAAAATCATCCACCCGGACAAATATAATATAACCCCAAAGGTAAAATGCAGGGTGATTTCACTCTCTTTAGTGGTTCAAAGCCCACTAGATGGGATGACTGGGTAAAGCAGGACCTGGACCTTCAGCTGTGCTGAGGCAGCAGTTGCAGGCACACGGATGTCACACCAAGACTTGTGTGACAGCCCCACAGTATGCGGGACCAATCTAGCTCAGTTCATGCCATCCCTGCAGCAGCCTTGTGTTTCCTTGGGCTGCAGGAGGGCTGAATCACTCTCACCACCCTTCTCCCGTCTTCACACCTTCTGGTCCAGTCCACTGACTGACACATGCTCTGGTTGTCCTTTAGAGCAGGAGGCCCCAGCCCTTCCCCTTGGACAGCCAAACCAGACATGCCCTCACATGTAGGAGGTTTTCCAGCCTGCCCTGCTCATGAGCACACACAAGGGTTTCCTGGCCCTAAACTTGCACTGTCTTTTCCCAGGTTTTCCACTACCTCTCCCTTTCCATTTTAACTATCTTCCTGGTTGAGGTGGGGTTTAAAGTCTTTGTGTACCGCCGAGAGTTCTTTCACCACAAGTTTGAAGTGCTGGATGGGATCGTGGTCATCGTGTCCTTCATCCTTGATGTCGTCCTCATCTTCCGGGAGCATGAGTTTGAAGCTGTCGGGCTCCTGATCCTGCTGCGGCTGTGGCGGGTGGCCAGGATTATCAATGGTAGGTGTGAGCTTCCCCTGTTGTATGGGCTGGATTTGCTGACCTTCCCTGCATTACCTGGGCTCATGTCTTTGTTTCCTTTTCAAAGTTATCTCCCAGAGCCCAGGGTCTTGCTCTCCCAGTGGAATTTCTTTGGAGCAGCAATAATCTACTGCTTGTGTTGGTGTGATGCTTCAGTGATGGCTAGCTCTAGCATGGCAGCATCAGGCACATTCCCCTTGAAACAACCTATAATCTGCTCTTGCATCCTGGAGGGAATGGCTCATGTCTTAGGTTTGCATGGTAGGATCCTTTTGGTGATGTTTCAGTAAGGGAACAGGGTAAACCCCTGCCTTCCTGAGTCGACTTTCATGGCAGAGTAGGTCTTGCTACTCTGATGTTCTGCTGTGACTCTGTCATCCCCTGCAGGGATGCTGCAGGGAACATCCTGATCCCACTCTGGATCTTTCTTACCTGGATTCAAAGGGTTTATCATAAAAAGAGGAATATAAATATCCCCAAATCAGATTTTACTGAGTCTGCTGTTGAAACTGTAATTGTTGCAAATAGATGTGAATTCAGATACTGCTGAAGCAAGTGTAGCTGGAAACATCTCCCTTCTCGGGGAAGGAATTTTGGGAGTAAAAAAAAATGTGGCAATGAAATTATCTCTAATTCCTGCATGAAACCTCAGCCTAAGTGCTGTCCTGTGCCTATGAGTCCGTTCTTGGTTAAGTACTCTGCACTTGATGCAGCTCCAGGTCTTGTTAGTTGGAATGAAAGGCAAGGATGGCTGGAGCTGTGTCTTTTGCCTGCAGCCCCCAGCTGCTCTTTCGATGGGGAGAACATCCCTGATCAGCAGAAGTGTCTGGGAAGGGGGTAGATGTGAAAGCAGCTTTTGTGGTTATTTTTAGTTCTAGTGAAAGTCAGAGAGAAACTGAATTTGTGTGCAGCTGTCTGAGCCCCAGGAACCTTAGTGTCTCTTAACATGCCATTTTACAGCAGAAAACCAGTGCATGTACAAGTAAATCCCCTTAATCCTGGCGTGCTCCTGGTTTCCTCCCAAAGCTTTTCACCATGCCAACTTGGAGCAACAGAGGGGACAAAGAAAATCTGCCCCAAGCTTTGGTGTTGTGTGTCTGAGCCCTGCACGGTTCACTGCCCATAGGGACTGGGTTACAGGCAGGTGGGGACTGTTTGATGTTATCAATGCAAATAAGCAGCACCGCTGCTTTGTCTTAAGTAAGGAACCTCGAAGCCCAGACTGTAGCACTGGAAACACAGGCACGCTTCAGTGCCTGCCTCTGTGCACGTTGTTCTGTCAGCAGCCGGAGGAGAGCTCTGCTCGGTAGGAAGAACGTGATGTTCTTGATGCTCTTACCAGGCTATTTTGGTTTTCCCCCCTCAGAAAAGGGTGGGAAGAAAATGTCTTTACTGCAGGGGCTGAGTTCACATGTAAGAACCTCACAGTATTTCGGTAGAAAAGCGACACCTCCACTGGAATGAGCATACCCTTAGTGCAGCTGTGCAATGTGAAGACAAAACACCTTGAGGATGATGTGCTGTGTCCATGTCCTGTTCCACAGGGCTAGAGCAGTCAGCCCCAGGGGTGGACGAGCCTTGTGCCCAGGCTCTGCTGAGGACAAGGCTCCCAGTACATGAAACCAGCTAAAACACAGCCCCTTTTGAGTTTTGTTGTCAGCAAAGCTACCCCTAGTTACATCCCCCCCAGGCTCTGCCAAGGGAGCGAATTCAAATTGAGGATGTGAATGGCAGTATGATTAATTGAGCTCAGCGGCCAGACTGCCTCTTTCCAGCAGGGTGTCGGTATCTGAATCCCTGGGGTGGCTAATTTCAAACCTTCCTCATTAAGAAAAGCACTTGGGAAGGGTGGTTTGGAGATGACAGAACCAGAGCTCAAGAGGAACACGTTCAACTCCTTGAGTACAGACCCAGTGCATTGTTAACCTCCTGCTCGGAGCTGTTTTACATTGTAAAACGAATCCACTGTGAATTGTTTCACAGGAATCATTTTATCTGTGAAAACCCGCTCAGAACAACAACTGTCCAAGCTCAAGCAAATAAACCTGAAACTTGCCACAAAGGTTGAACAACTGGAACACAGCTGCGTCGAGAAGGTAAGAAAACAATTTAAATGAGGTTTACCTACTGGCTGCTCCCCAGGGTGAGCTGCTGGGAACCTTTTGCAAGGTTGCTGCTCTCAGCTTAGTTTCCTCATCAGAAAGTTTTGGGGCTGAAAAGCCGCAGCCCTGCCTGTACTTCCCATAGCAGCTCCTCTTGCAAAGGGATGACGGTTGCCTCTGCCCTGTTGTAGTGAGGTCCTGTTTTACAGCAGCTCAAGATACATTACAGCAGTGGGAAGATCTGTGGGAACCTGCAAAACTATTTTAAGGTAACAGCTCTATGAATGATTTGATTTTTGTCTCCTACAGGAGCAAGAAATTGAAAGGCTTAACAAGATACTAAAACAGCATGGACTCATCAGCGAGGAAAAGTAGGCGGCTGGTTTTCCGAGATGGGAAATCTGCCCTGAAAAGCGCAGTGTTGAAATCTACCAGACTGACCAGCAAGGTTTCTGTGTGTCTTTGCTTTCTCTTGTATAAGTGTTTTCTATAAACATTTTCTATTTGACCACGCTTTGATTAGACCTTGGGATTGCAAAAACAGTTTTGTGGAAAATTAATCCCGTGTCCTCCCACAACAGTGATTTCATAAGACCTTCCTTGCACAGCTGTACAGCCCAGACTGCAAAATAATTTAATAAAGACACATCTTTACAAGCTACAAACTTATGGAAGTACCACTTATTTGAAATAAGTTCATTTTTTCCAGTGATAATGTTCTTTGTTTGTAACATCTTGTAGAAACTGGCAGTACCACTGGTAAGAACCCAGGCTGAAAGGTCATTGCTTCCTGACAAGCTGACCATTCACCACTGGTACATCTCTCCTGTGCCAACCATTCTTTTCATAGTGTTGGTAGTTTCCTCATTTCTGTTGCTGCTTGTGCCAGTTTGATATTTATATAAGGCTTGTTTCAAAAATACCAACACACCACTCCCGTAGTTGACAATCGAGTCAGCACCAAAATAGAGGCCAACGCGTGCCATCTTACGTCAAACAGTGCCTTGTTCTCAGCAGCAGATCTGAGTTCTGATACTGCATTCTCTCATCCCTGCTTCCATTTTAAGTGTCAGTTTGCAGCCCGCTGGGCTATGAAGTTCTTTGTTTCCACAGCTCATAAATCAATGCATTAGAAGAACAGGAATATGTGAGAACAGATGTAGGTGAGTGCGCTGCTGGGAACGGTGAAGACTCCAGAAAAGCCATTTAGAAAATGTGTTCTGAAGGACCAGGCTGGTGTTTGAACACTTTGCAGGTACTAGAAGGTCTCTGTGGAGAGACTGTTTTACAGTAGAATATTCAGTAAGTGGGAATTCTGAAAGGTGTTGACTGTAGCAGGCATCTCCAGTTGATTTCAGCTGGAATGGCCATTGAGCTCTCCTGAAAGCATCACTTAACTGGTCAGATTTGTAAAGAAAGGTATAATTAATCAGTGGTTTGGGGAAAATAGCTAGAAATGTGTGGCTTATTCATCTACAAAAATAGTTAGAGCCTTATCTAATAGCACATGATTACTTTAATTAACAATTTAGTTTTGCTATTCACAGAATAATGAAGCCTACTTTCCTTTGGAGCTGTCCCTTCCCCTCCTGCCTCCACACTGCTCAGCAGAGCAGCCAATGTGCTGAGAGGCTGGTAGCTCTGCATGTGCTGACTGGGCAGACAGAGCCACCAGCAAGTTCAGCCTCAAGCTTTTTTCCTCCTCGCAGAGGTATAATTGGGAACTTTCCACTTAATGCGGGGGTTTTTCTGCCCTAAAGCTTCTGAGAGCCCTCACAAGGATTCACCCTTTCTCTCCTGGGCCATTTTAACCCAGTAGGTTGACAATTCAGAAGCAACTGATGGCTCATCACAGCAACTGGATAAACCTCACTTCTTTAGGAAATGAACTGCAAGTCAGAAAAAGCAGAAATGTGGTTTGTTTGGGGGCTTTTGTACATACTTACCTCAGACAAATGGGAAGAAAAAATCAAAGGGTAACTTGGCATTAATGGTGGGCCAGGCTTTATAGCCTGGCTCTGCAGGTAAAGAAACATCCGTGAAAACAACAGAACTTGTTATAGGAATAGTCCTTTCCCTTCCTGAGGGAAGCTGCAATGAAAATACAAATGGTCATTAGCTTCAGCCTTCTCTTTGTACAACTGCTTTGTTTGTGCTGGGTTATATTCTCAGCTGTTACTTGTAAAAAGTTTGTTTTTTCATATACAGCTCCATGTGTTTTCATGAATGACGTATAGTTTTTTACTGAAGTGTGTTTTGGCCGGGAGCCCACAGTTGTGTTTGAGTTGGAACAGAAACTGCTGGGTATAATAGAGTCTAATATGAAGTGCTACTTTTAGATAAAGGGATTAACTGGGTCACTGTTGCAGAGCTGATACCTAAGCAAAACAAGCCATTATTTTTGTCTTAGGTCCTGTAATTGAATTACATACCTGCTTCAGTGTGGTGGTAGTGATCGTTGCTGTAACATTCACTATTCTGGCTTGTGGATTGACTAGGGATCCATATTTAGTCCACTTCACTTCTATTTCAAGTGATACCGGTATTTGGCATGAACTCTGAAAAGTGTTATAAATTCTCTCATTGTCTGACTCATACAGAAACAGCCACATCAATTATTCATGTTATTAAACTGGCAGAATGCCCCCACAAGGCTGGCTCCAGGAGCTTCCCAGTACTCCTACATCATGCCTGTGCCCTGGACTGCTGCCTCTGCAGGCAGCACAGGCATTGCAGCCTTGGCTCAGGGACGTCCCAGCAGTTTCACCATAGGTGACAAACTGACCCTGTAACTGCACTTCGAGCAGGGCTGTTCTACCTGAGGCAGGACCGTGACTCTCAGTGATAGTGCTGAGTTGGTTCTTTTTAGTAGGAAGACATATTTCAGCAGAAAATCCTTAGCTCTGTCAGGGCAGAATTTTGAAGCCTACAATCTTAGGTATTTTTAGGTATTTCTTTGTGACCTGTCAAGTTTCTGGTTACAGAAATGATTCACTGTTTAGTTGCAAAAGCCTGTTAGAAATCTATATGCAAGCTGTTGCTGAGGGCGTGCTGCCATTCAGCACGTGCCAAGCAGCACTGCCTGTCACCAACAGCAGGATCTGTGCTGTTGGGAGGAGAAGGACTAGTACAGAGGATGTTAGGAATTAATGTAGTGTTTGGGTCACTCAAATATACTGTTTCTGTGCTTTAAAGGATTCTTGCTCTTACTCTAACCTGATATAAGCACCAAGGACAAGCACTGATTCTGTTACTTTGCTCTTTCAACCATACCTATTGTGCTTCATCCCCATCTGAAAAGCAAGACTCTAAACTGGCTAGAACTCATTCTGTACCTAATATGTTGCCCTGATTCATAACTGAGAAGCCTGGATAGCAGCTTGATTAAAGGTAAACCCTGTCTTCTAGAGCAAGAGCTAAACTCCTCATTTGTGACTATCCCAGGAAGTCTTTCCTCCAGTTTGTCTCTGCATTTTTTTCCCTGTAGGTCTGTATTTTTCCCTGAGAAGCCCAGGCTGATGCTGCAGTACATGTACAGGTAGAGGTCTCAGAAGGGAGGACAGCAAGAGTGAAGGGGACAGTGGTAGTGGTGTAACTTTCACCTGTTCTGAAACATAGAGGTGAGTTATCGGCACCCAGTCGAGGACATCCTGGGCTTGAGAATTCCCAAATGAGGCCACGTAGTCAGGGAAGGTTTGTCCCTTCAGTAGATCCAGGAGGGCCTGAGTCAAAGGCTGGCATTTCATAGCTGCTGTCATTCTTCCAGGGAGAAAAAAAAAGAGATGCATTAAAGCAAAATCTATCAGTTTGGCACAGCAGTAATTTCTGCTTGCTCTCATGTGCTGTTCAAGCCTTCTGGCTACAGCTGCTAATGAACTTTTCAAGAGAAAGACCCTTGTTAATTAAATGACATTTTTTGTAATTAAATACTCCGTTCCCAATCCTCCTCCAGCTGTATAAATGTCCCAGGACCTGAAACAGATCCTAATGGAAAGGGTTGTCAGTAGGTTTAAAAGCACTAAATAATAAAAGAAATGGCCTCTTACCGTAACTTACAGCCTGATATCATGTTATAACCAAATAACACGGGGGCTCTGGCTCCCTGTGCCGCCAGACAGTCCTGGGTGGATGTACTTTGCAGGATGGTAAGTTGACTGTATTTGTTAGTATTTTGAATGATGCCAGATGTAACACACAGTTAAAGGGAAATGCAGTACTTGATGTATATTGTGAAGAAAGAATCCTCAGTCATATCTTTAAAATATAGCTGAAAATGCTACAATAGCTCAAGATTCCTCTTACACTGTGAAGAAGCACTGGAGTGTACAATGAAGGTCTAAATCTATCTCACTAAACAGTCTCAGGAGACTGCAGTCAGGACTGAGTCATAAGCTACTTCTAAAATACAGCCAAAAAGCACACTTTTACATTGGGTAAAGAACAGATAATATATTATAGATGTCTGTGCTAGAAAGTGTTTGTGAGGATGGACCAGCAAAAGTGCTGCAAATGTAATTTCACTAGGGAAAGGATATCCTTGTGGCCGGAAGCCTGCTCTTACAGGCAGTCCCACAACATAACCAGGATTACCACTGAGAGGAACTGGTATTGTATTTACCTGCAATGCAAACATACGGTTATTAGTTTTCATCCTGTACTGAAATGGCTAGAAAACATAGAAATATTTCAATTACTTTAGGATTATTAAGGATTGTCCAAGGATTGCCTTGGAGAGTGATAGTGGTAAGCTGGTAACAGTAAGCTTGTAGCAATTCTCTTAACATTGGTGCAGGCTTTTCCTTCACTGGATACAGTTATAGAGTCACAAGATGCATCTTCCAAATGTGAAAACCAGACTTTGGAGGCCATTATTGCCCAGTTCTGCAGTGCTACCTCATTTGTGTACCAGGGCAGGTTATATTTTACCTTGCTGCTAACAACAGTTCCAATTCAAGTTTAATAAGTTTTGTAATTAAATGTCTTTCACCAAGTCACCCGTAACATCTCCAGCAGTTACCTGAGTAAAGCTTATTTCGAAGCTCTGCTCTATTGAAAGTGCTTCTTTGTTAATTGCCCCCAAGACAAAAGCACCAGCTGCTTCTATTATTTCTCCTGCATCTGTGTATGTAATGTGATAGCTCACCTGAAAATTCAACATTTCAGATATTAATTAGAATAAATACGTAAGAGGATGAAACTAGAGTAAAGGAATTTAGAAGTATGCAAGTATTTTTCCTTTCTTCCTTGCTTAAGTAACTCTCAAGTACACAGTAAAGATACACTATAGCCTCTAAAGGCTGGAGCCTCTTCAAAACTGGCTTCTTGGAAAACCTCTTCTAAGCATAAGGCCAATGTTCATTTAAGGTTAAAAGCTGAGATGATGTGCACTGTGTGTTCCTGTCTCTCTGTCACCACTGTGCCTGAAGTCAACATCTCCCAAGCATAATGGAGAGTCTAAGCTCATTTTATTGTCTGTTATGCCATAGACACGCAGTCATAATAGAAAAGGATTTCATCCTGTCTCCATGTTATGTTGCATATAGTTATTAATTTGTTGCAAAACACTCCCTTTTATCCCAAAGTCAGCGTTTCTCCTGTCACATTTGCTTGGGAGATGTCAAATACATGGAAACCGTGCAAGGCCCTTCTCACATCTTTGCAGTTTGGGACTCAGAAGTGATTTGATGCACACATGCTTTCCATCAAACATGAGGAGAAAAAGAACTGTCATACCTACCCCAAGAACTACATTTATGCACAGTTCATCCAAAATCATGGGGAGCCTGAGGACATCGCTATCATTAAGTAAAGTCCGCATTCCATTTAGAGACTGGACAACTATGGACTGGACAGAAATATTCACCTGAAAAACAAACTCATGTCATTTCTGAGTATTGTGTAGAATTATTTTTGGCTTTTTTTTTGTATTGTATTTGTGACCCTTCTGGGTTCTATCAACAGTCCTCTGAACAACTACTATATTACATTCTGGTACCATATTTTTACTGTAAAGATTAAGGATAAAGTCCCTGTTCTGATGAAGTCAGTGAAAAAAGCTCCCACTGACTATAACCGAGTAAGAATTTTTCCCCCAGCTCTTCCCACTAAGCTAGAAGGATACTCACCATCTGACTTGACTTGGGCACCTAGGGAAGAATAAAAGAGCACATTTAAATGACAGCAAACATGACTTAATACAAGGAGCAGCTAAGTAAAGCAGTTAAGGCTTAACTGCTTTACCAGTTTAACTCTCTATCATTACAATAACTTTTATATCATGGAAGTTATTGGATATACACTACAGTAGTGTGAAAACAATGGCTGCTGTTCATGGCTAGTAGGCAAAAGCTTATACTCCAATCCTCTTTTTCCTCTGACAGTAACTGGAAAATGTCTTAGTGACTTCCATCAGTTTTCCCTCAGACCTAGCTAGACTACATCCCCAATAAACATACAGTGCATTCGCCCAGTAATAGATAAATCCAGTGTTTCCTTTGGAACACTATTTGCAACTCAGAACTAAGAAACACTGGAAAAGTCTATTTGCATCAGAAAGGTGATGACTGTTATTGTGCCTCATAGCGTTTGACCCATTGAGGGCGTCAGAGAACGTTCCTACTGCAGCTCTCTGCAACACCTCTTGTAACTAACCAGAGATTGCCAGTTCAGGAAGTCTGCCAGGCTGTTCTTTCCCGAAGGAATAAAGAGGTTTTGTTGTGCCGTTCTGACAGTAATAAGTCCATAGTTTCACAGTACAATGAAATGAGAAACAAGTATCCCTCTTGTAATACAGCACATGGACATGCACTGTTGCCCCACAGGAAAATTTCCACTGAATTTTCATGGAAGCACAGAAATGTCAGCCCAGGTCATTAGTCATATTTATGTAGGTACACCTTGAGGTACAGCTCAGCCATCAGAATGCCCCTGGATCTGCTGGACAGGCCAGGGGAGAGAGCAGAGATTAAGTGCCACAATTACCAAGAGCTTCATATCCCTCAAGCTGCCCAGCCTGGCAGTGAGTTTGGGCTCATGGAGTTTCTGAAGGAACTGCTCTACCAGTCCTCTCACCGGGGGCTCCCCGGGTTTCTGCCGTCTCTTTTGCCAGCAGCTCCACCTGCTGGCACTGGAAGGGCTCCCTGCTCTGCCCTGTCCCCAGTACCAAGTTACTTTTCTGTTGTCGCACCCATCTTCAGCTCCCTTTGGGAAGGGGAACTTCCTACAGACCACCTCCAGCATTTACTCAGCGCTCCAGTTCTTGCATCTGATCCTTCCTGAATGTCCAACGTACTTTGGACAGAATTCTGGCCTCTCCTGAGCTGGGCTGCTGTCACTGGCAAGCAGCACACGGGTTCTAGTGAGAAAGGGGAATTCACCTTTGAATTCAAAAACATTCATCTGCGTGGAACTTGTCCTGAGGCACCGAGAACGTCAATTCTGGGTACACACAGAAACACTCAAGGCCCTTCTGAGGCAGAGTGTTCTCCAACTGTTCCCCAGCAGGATGACCAAAAGCTGGCATCTGTGTGCAACAAACGTGCTGATTTTAATGAGGTCCTCAACAAGCAGGAGAATGATCCCACCTGTGACAACATGAACTATTTAAGGGGCTTTCCTTTCCTGTTGAAAGGGGATTTATTTCTACATAAGACATCATCTTCCACTTCAAAAAGGAATGAAAAAGTAAGCTTAGTTTTGAAAAATAACCACAGGCTGTATTTGGGAATAGGCTGGATACAAACAAATTTGCTCTCAGTGGGGTAAAAGGCCATGTTGTTGGAGGACTATAAAAGGAAGGCTCAGTATGCATGTACAATACCTCACTATTAAAAACTGAGGTGTGTAAGAAAGGTGTATCTACGCAGAGGATTCAACCTTACAAGTTCTTGTTTAAGTACAAAGGTTTCTCAACTTGTTAAACCTCAGACTCCTTATGCACTCTGGTAACAGGCTTCTTGGAAGAGCTTGAACAAGCACAAAAGCCTAAAGCTGCTGCCACTGCAGTAAGCACAAGTTTAGCAACAGGCTTGTCTCTTCAAGACCATTATTTTTGTTGGCCAAGCAGAGCACAGTAAATGCTTCTGTTATCAAAGCCTGAAGTAAAAACATTTCCCAAGGCTTTCTGTAGAAAAGTCCATTGCGCAGGGAGCCGGTTTTTCCCAAACCCAGTAAAGCACCATACCTTTTAGCAAATAGAATTGACTTAAATCTGTAGATACAAATGATATGTTATACCAATGGTCAGCTGTATGACTGCTACAAATCATACTCACTGCTAAAATGCTGGAGTTGATGTAGAACAGCATACTAATTGCTTGAATGTCGTCACATTTTTCCACACTTACTGATCTAATGCATTTTGTAGCATGGTTTACTAAAAACCCTGGAAAACAGTCACAAAGTATTACTGAGGGAAGTTAAAGAGTAATTATAAAAAGCAGAAATGAAAATCTAAGAACGTCAAGTATAAGTAAGTGTAATTCCTATTGCAGGTAAGCGTGTGAGCTATAAAGACTGATACTTTCTTAGATTCTGCAAAAGTGCCAAGACAAAACACTACTTTTTAACAAGCTTAATAAAAAGAAGCTTAATAAAGAAGCTCAGTAAAAGCCAGCTGAAAATTTATTACTTCAGTTTTGAGATCTTACGAGATTTCTTCATTTCACAAGAGACTTCAGTTTTCTTATGGTCAGCATGATTGTTATGATACCATATTTAATAACAACAGTGGGGTTTGGAAACTGTGTGTGTTTGGTTGTGGCTTTTTCTTTTTCCCTCCCCCTCTGCAGAGGGGAAAAATCTGTGTGAAAGATTAAAATGTAGAGCTCAAGCCTGCAAGTCTGCCTTGACTTGCATTCAGGCTGTGAAAGGAACCTCAGAGGCATCTTACAAAGGTTGCCCGGTTAGGTCTGCCTTTGTGTAATACCCTCTTCCCTCAGGGTGTCACCCTTGTGCTATTCTATTAAACCAATTATGCCAAAGAGGATGTTTTATTGTTGGATAAACACCCCATTAACAAGATTCTCAAGGATTTACATATCTAACTTTGAATGTGTAACATAGATGCAACACAATTTCCAATCTATGCCTAAAAATAAACCCAGAGAAGTGGAAACATGAACAGTTTGTTCATTAATCCCTATCTGAATTTACATCTCTGTGTGTGCCAATTTACTGACTGATTAAGATCAAGTCAGAGCAGAACACTCTAAAGCAAACGAAACTTGAATTCAAATGCAGTTTCTAACCTGCAGGATTTTCATCAGAGCACCAAGAGGAGACCACAGGACTAGGCAGTCTCAGGAATGCATCCGCTGTCTGTATAGGAACACCATACTGTCAAATAAAAGAATATATTCCATTGTACAGGTATGCTTCAGTTCTAGTTCACTTTTTAAGTAAGCCAGCACAAAATGCTACACTTCTTATTTTTACATTTCAATATTTAAAGGCCAAGATAAAGTTTGTCTCTTCCAGAAGAACTGCATGTTTTTAAAAGCAGGTGCAAACAATGCTCAGTTCAGTCTAACACTAATTGCATCAGATCATTATTTACCTGGTATCTGTAAGTTTCATTTGCGTCAGACAGATTCTGATCATCTGTGTTCATGTCCCAGCTCTCAGGCTCAGCACTGAAAGTAGCACTTCCAAAGTGCTTAAGCAATTGATCAAAATTCTCAGAAGTAGGAATTTCAGGGGAACTGAAGGTGAGTGCTTGTTCATCTGTCAAAACATTTTAAAGAATAGGAGAACTTTGGGGATAAAAGATACAGAAACAGCATTTAATAACAATTTTTCTTTCTGGAATCATTAAAAACTCAGTGATAGAAAAATACCAACACAGCTTTTCTCCAAGAAAAGATATTTTATTTAAAAGAAAACCTAAGCAGTATCTTAACCCATTATTTCCCCCAGGTCCATGAAAGCACAAACTTAAGGAAAAAGTTAAGTCCCTTACTTTCAAAACCATGGTTTCTAGCACCCTATGTTCCAAAACAAAGACTTGTCAGTTAGTGTCTACAGATCCCATGTCAAGTATTCAGATAATTTAATTCTGTATGTTAGTTAAGAGAACACAGCACAGATAACTTCTTCCCTGCGAGTCACTTCAAAGCTGGGCATAAAGGATTTGTACTACTGGTGACCATTATATAGTTACAGTAACTGATCAGGAAGGAGTTTCCCATAAGACAACTTTAAATATTATGATGATAAATTATTTAAAAACAAATAAACCCCCCAAAACAGTATATTTTTTTTCCAACAGAGAAACTAAGAGTTAGAGATGTTTTATCTCCACAGTTTCACAAGTGAAAGGATTACAACATAAGGACAGTGAACCTAGAGAACAACCAGTTTTCTGACAGGTTTAGTTAGTTCTAATTTTAGTCTGTTTCTAGTATCTAAAGAGCTTACAAAAATAACACCACAATGCTTAATATTAGCAACAGTTCTTACTTACAGTTTGTAGCATGAATACAGAAAATACTGGGATTGACTTGGTCAATTAATTTAAATACTCTTTCTGGTGGATTTGCTTCAACATCAAGTGAATATATGGCAGCTTTCTGACTACACAGACGGCTGTCACCTCTGCAAGCAATAATAATAAAATCAGTGACCTACTTCAAGTGAGTATTGACCATATTTTCAAGTTCATGTATTTAGGCAGCATCAAAAAAAGCATGAGATTATTGTTTTAACATAACGTACTGCAATTGTTTCTCCTTTGAAGGCTTATATTGTTTTGGACTGTGTGCTTAGTAATAAATAATAGAGAATTCTCCAACAGCATTTATCTAGTAGAGGAAACATGAAGAAATGTAGGAGACAGAGCAGGGGAAAGGGGAGAACCTGACAGTAATAATACTAGAGCTAAAATGAGAAGTTGGATGGGATCCATGTGGTGTGAGACACCACAAATGCAGAGCACCCCACACTATACACAGCTCAGAAACACTTTTATTTATACAACACAAGTGGGAAGTATGACCTTTACGGTGATGTGATGGCATGCAGACCAGAAAAAAGGGCAGTTTTGTGAATACTGGAATAATATTCACTTGGGGCAGGGAGTCCTACTTGAGATACACATAAAAGAAACGGCAGAGACAGGAGGGTGAAATAACTCACCCCAGTCTAACAAAGTATTTGTAGATGTGCCATGGGCTCACCCACAGCAGCCCAGAACTGTAGCAGTGAATGTGCCAGTTCATACCCTTAAGAGCACTGGTGTGTCCTACATGCCAGAAATAAAAGATGATGATTCCTGTGAAACTGGTGCTGAGGCAGGGTTAAAACAGTCAAGGACAGATACTGAGGAAGTGAAATGCCTTTTTAAGTATGGAGTTAAGCTCTTCCATGAGGTAAAGCATTTGTTAGTAGCATTCACATCCTAAATCAAATGCCCTTTCTCTGCTGTTTCAGAGGCCACATCGCCTCTTACTTGGGATCAGTCAAACCCTTTCAATAACTAACACAAGTACACTGATGTTTATATATCTAGATGTAAATAACGAGATCCACAGTCCTTGCAGTCATTGAAAATCCCATGGATTTTCCTGTAAAAGAAACATTTTACACAAAAGACTTTGGGAAAAGAAACACAACTTCACTTTATGCATTTCTAGTTGACAAAGACAGAACAGTCACCCGAGACAATGAAACTGTCACTCAGGAAGGCACTGATTAGACCTTTCTGATATCTATAAATGGGAATCAGTAGTCATTGTGTGCAAGAACAATAAGAACCCATGGTCTGGGATGACTGCTAATTCAAATTTCAAAGCACCAAGAATAAACCCCAGTGTTCACATTGGCATGACTTATGCAGAAGGTGGGCTGAAGAGCTGTACTTTTTGTTCTGAAAAGTCACCAAGAGACTTTTTTACATTACAAATTTGAAGTGAGCTTTCTTAACTCCTTTTTGAGGAGATGAAATTGGGTGAAAGTGGTTTCACAGAGACTGTAAATAGCAAAGAAATAATTATTGGCATTAATTTATTGATATAATGTTAGATTTCACTGTTTCTAATGTGACAGACTGGCAGTGAGGCAGCAGGTTGGGATGCTGACTTGTAAAATAAGGACCAGAACAATGCTCAAACTTGTTCATTAAGCCCTGAGTTGATCAAGTTTCTATCTGATATCATAAACCATAATGAAAGAGGTTACTGATAAATTGCTGATGACCAAAGGGGGTGACCAGATGGTCCCATGGTATCAGCTTTAACTCCCAGACACTGCATTGTATTGATTTAAGTTTAAAGATGCATTATTCTTGGCCCAACAGAAGACATCACCACTTAAGTGCCCATAAACAAGGAAAGAGGAGAAAAGCAAGGAGCATGAGTTCAGAAATGAGGGAATAAGTCAAAGAGAAATGGGTGGGAGGACAATTTGTTGTTCTACTTGGCTGGGGACAAAAGTTTCCAGGCCTAGTGCAGGAAGGACTGGTCAAAGGGTAGGCAGGAATTAGAATGGAGGGGGAGAGTGGACAGGATTTGTTAAGAGAGAATAGAGCCCTTACAGATGCATGCAGCAAATAAACAAGATTTTATTTCATACAGCTGCTTATGCACTTACGTGACCACAGGAACTGAACAGGTAGTGAAGAGGCTGAAATCTGCTGCACTGCAATCAGGGTCACAGCAGCAATTCACATCGCATTGTGCCACCAGCAGGTCACAAACACACAGCTTGGCAACTGATGGGGGGGGAAGATTGAAATTAGAACTGGAACTTTACACATTACAGCATGTTCCCCAACACTTCCATTCTTCACCTCGCCTCATTTCTCACAATGGTCCAAAGTCTATATCCAAATTCATGTGTCCTTTTTTAAAGTGATTTTCTAAAGCCATCTTTTCTGCTACTTAGCAAATCTATGTGGGATACAAGAACAAAACCAAGGGCATACTAAAACCTGGTGCTATGTTCCCTATGAAATCAAGAAAGCAATGTTATAGGAGTTTCGAAGGTATGAAAATATACCCAGCCCTGCAGAGGGGAGAAGAGATACAAACAAGGCTCACTTCTTGCTTGTTCAGCTTATTGGGAAAACAAACAAAAAAGGAAACATTTTGATAGAACAGTAGGATGTTTACAAGTATTGAGCATGTCCCAAGGTCCAGTAATACGTTTTCCTGATGTGCCAACATAACCATAGTTGACTTTTTCTCCTCTCTCTTTAGATACTGTGAAATATTGTAATGATAGAAAGTGCTACCAATACTGTAAACTGTCTCGATAAAATACAGTTGGCAACCTCTTAAACATTCTTGGGGTTTCGAGTTTATAAATTCAAAGAACAGCTATTACTCTACTGAAGTGAGTTTGAGAGCTGGTATTCTGTAATAAATCCTGATTTAAGAACAACAGATTGAAGACAATTAAGCCCAGTGCACTGCAGGTAAGACATTCAAACAACATTCATTTTCGTAACTAATGTTGCTTTTATTTTGACTCTTGCCCATTTCTCTATGGCCTCTCGGATGTTCTCTGACCATCTGAACAGTATCCAGGTATTTCCTGGAATCTCTGATGCTCTGACTGTTCCGTTCGCTGAGTTTAGTGCTGCAATCCTTAGCTCACCTCGTAAACAAGGTAAGTTTAAACACAGATGATTAGATTGGGAGGTTGTATTTCTGAGATCAGAGATTTAAGTCTCTTTTTCCCTAAGGAAGGGTACACACCGGGACATGTTTAATTTGGCAAGTAACCCAGGCAAGCTGAACACTTGGCAACAACACTGGGAAAACGAAAGCTAAAGTATACCTGCCGATTAGGAGCCAGTAGGAAACAAAACAACGATCTGTGATGGATCTTGCCATAGCATCACTATAAACGCACAGAGTTCCGAGTCTTGGAGCATACTGTGTGTGCAACCAGCTCGGTTTGGAGATCTCCAGCACACACAGGGTGAGCCTGGGTCTCCTCTGCCAGGCCAGGCTGTGCCCCGTGGGATCAGAGCAGGGTGCTGGGTGGGCAGGGGGACCTGTATCCTGGCTGTGCATGCCAGGCTCAGCGTACCCAGTGGCTGTGTAGGGATACTGTAGGGTTGTATACCTGCCTGAGGAAGCCCTGAGCCCCGGCTGGACTGGGGTACTGCTAGAGAGGGGTGCTCGGAGCAGAACTGTAGCACAGCCCCGGTAAATCCCCACGGAGAAGCAGGTTTCCCTTGCCCGGCAATAGCCGCCAGTGCCGCGCAGAAGCCCTACAGCACCCACCGTCCGTGACCGGAGCGGGCCCTCTGCGGGTCCGCGCCGGGACGGCCGCGCTGGTCTCCGGTGGCGCTCCGGGCTCCGCGCTCGGCTCTGCTGCCCGGAGCGGCGGCGGGAGGAGGAGGAGGAGGAAAAAGACCCCGAACCCCAGCGCCGCCGCCATGATGGGCGCTGCTGGCCGCCCCTAGCAACGGCGTGGTTGCTAGGGAGCGCGGGGCATCACGGGAAGCGCGAGTTCCCGCCCTCCCGGGGCATGACGGGAAGGAGGGAGGGGGTCTGAGGTAGGGGGGCTGGAAGGGGGTAGGGTTGTGTGCTCTGGTGCCATGGCGGGCGGCGAGGGGAGGCTGGGTCGTGTTTGGCTGTTGCTTTCTGCTGCTCTCAGCCCCATTCATCGCAGGGAGACCTGGGGTGAGGTAACACGCTGGGCCTCTGCCTGTGTATGGCCTTCTGTGAGGCCACTCTGCTCACCTCACCTCACCTCAGTGCCGCCATCATGGTTGCCTCAGGCACCCACTCGTGCCACCCAGCCCCGTCAGAAGCCGGCCAGCGCGGCTGTAACTTGGGTGTCGGTGGCCCTCGGTGCTAAGCCAAGGGCAAGAGGAAAAGGTGTAAGTTGTAGCAACCAAAGCATTAGCCATGTATGTGGTTTGGGCAAAAGTTCTGGAAAGCCATACGCAAAGGTGGGGAATGGCCGCTTGTGAGCTGTAAAATCTTACATTTAGTGTGTTTTTGCAACTTTTTAGTAATCTGAAGCCAATTTTTAAAGTCCATTTAATGTCTCCTTTAGAAAATGCCATTTCTCCTTTTGAAAAAACTTACTGTTCAGCGCATCTGTTTGTTCATCAGTCTTTACCAGCAATCCTGCAGTATATACAGGTGGTTCTATGCTAACTTGTAAAAGATGAGCTAGAGAGCCACTGAATGATCACAGTTCCTCACAGCTATCTTACAAATACCAACATCCAGGCTTCAGTTACAACCAAGAGATGACTTACTAAATCTTTAAAGTCTTGTGTTCCGCATTTCGTGCTCAAAAGCACCTTTACAACGTTTGTTGCTGCATCAGACTAACAAGTGCGTTGTTACAGTGTGCCTTCTTTTTCTGATCAGGGTCGTTCCCGTCGTGAAGGGAAGCGCCGAGAGCTTTAAAGCCACAAGAGGGCATGTTCTCTGTCACGTTGATCCCCTTGACTGCTGCCCATGCAACTTCACGTCGACAGTGTGTATTTAGTACATTGATGTTCCAGGTTCTGCTGAGAACTGAAATGATTCCACAGCGTCTTTGTCACCTTCACACTCTCCTCTTGCTGCACAAGAGCCCATTACTCACAAAGGTGTTGATGAGTTACACAAGACAGACTGTTGTCTGCCTCACGCAGTACAAGGCTACCAAGGTCATTTGATACTATCAAAGAGCTGGTAACGTAAGACGGATTTGAAATAGCTCCATATTACGTGGTGAAATCCTGGAGTCATCCTTCTCTTTGGAAAGAAGACTTAATACTTCAAAGGTGACATGAAGGTGAGAATCCAGCATACTCCATTGTACCTCAGATATCTGTGTGCCTTATGTGCAGGCATAGCCTCACCTGGGTGTCCAATCTGCATTTGTTCTGTTAAATATAGCTTAAAGTTACTGTATTTGCCTTCTTCCTTGGGGAAGAAAAAACAATGTGTTTAGTCTCTTTGTTTCTTTGCTGTTTCTGAGATTACAATGGAAACATTCATGCTTTTCCTTTCAGTAAGGTCTCCTCAATGATGTTACTACTGTTGGGTCTGGCTTTTTTCTCAGGCTTGAAGAGTAACAGTAACTTCAAGTACATTCCCGTTTTGAAAAGAGACTGTAAAAATGGCATCAAGGGCTCCTTTTTCCTTCTCACTAAGGCTGTGCCAGTACTGGCTGCAGACATCAAATAGAGTCAGTGCCTATATTTGGAGGAAATCATGGGAATCTTTAAAAAGCAGTCTCCTTCCTGGTCCCAGAGCAGAGGAACATGTTGCCTTTGCCATTTTAATCAGATATGCATATTCATAGCTGTGTTCAGGACAGATATTGATGCACTAGCCTGAAAAATCTGATTTCTTTGCCCCTGCTTAATAACACAGATAGGCACAGGGTACAGAAATTAGACAAGGACCTGTTAGCAGCAGAGTAAGAAGACTTGCAGCTTCAAGAAGGAGGCCTTAGGCAGGGAACTGTCCCCTGAATAAAGGAGACTTGTTTTCCTGCCTGTTAAAAGGCAAGTGAAGCTCTTTACTTTTGTCACTATGAAGTGACTGAAGTTTCGGCATCCTCTTGCTTAATGGAAAGTAAAAAATAGATTTGGGAGTTTTACTTCTATCAGCTGTGGGGCGTTTCTCCACTTCCAAGGGAGAGGGAAGCCTACAGGAAGGAGCAGCCTCAGTGTGTGGATGTGCTCTCCTTCACTCCCTTCACTTCACACACCCCACTCTCCGGGTGAAGCTGACTTGGGGGCTTACAGTCCCTTGGACTTCTTGACTAATCTCCCATACTATGACTATGTATGGTCAGTTGACAAGGATGAGGATGTTTCTCCTCTGTAGAAGTCCTGCACATTTGGAAATCTGGAATTTGGTTTGCAGGCTTGGAGGGAGAGTGGTGCTTAATTTATGGTTTATCATTGTTGGTCGTATTCTGTCTTCTATATGACATGTTCAGCTGCAGCATCATGAGATGAGCTCATTAATATTAAAGCACCCCTACTTGTTAGTTTAAATGTTTGATGCATTTAAACTGAGTAAAAAGGGCCGTTGACAATGCACAAGGGATAATATAATGTAATACATTCTGTTTTCCATCCAGAATTACTTTGCAAAGCTGATGGTGCGCAAGGGACCAGCCTCCTTGATGAAAACCAAGCCTTGCTGAAAGCACAGTTTGCACCCTGAATGCATGTGGGCAGGAGCTGGATGAATAAGAGGTATTATTTCTTACTGCATCTACCATTGAAATAGAATAGAACTGGGCAACTGTTCAATAGCAAAGTATAATTAATCTGGTTTCCTAATGATTGTTTTCCCCACAGCAAGTTAGGGCAGTACTTGTAAAAGGAGAATAGGATTTACATAGTAGTCACTTCAGTTTCCTCTTTATTAATGTTTAAGTGACTAATACTAAATTCCTTAACTGCAGGAAGTGATAGTTCAATAAAGTCATGATGTCTACCCAGAAATATGCACACATAAACAGAATGTAGTAAGTAACATTTAAAAAATAGATTAAAAAACCCAAACAAAATACACTTTTGTCATTAAAAAAAAAAAAGGCAAGACAAAAGCCAAGTATAAGAAAAACCTTTTGAAAAGTCCCACCATCACAAAAGCACCCTTGTGTTAAGACTTCTGAAGCAGGTTCCAAAGAGCAAACTCCACAGAGGGTAGGACAGGATTGGGACATTGATAAATACTGCATGTTCTCCATCACAGAGATCCTGATTTATCTCATCAACATGTGGGAATTAATAATTAAAAATGGCACTGTGATGCTCACATGGGAGGTCCTATAAATGGAAATTCGAGCAGTTGAAGATGCAGTTGATCGCTCTCTAGGAAAAAACATTTTAAGGGATTTACTGTAGCACTATTTTAGTCATATATTAAGGAGCAAGATTTTGATATGCATTTAAGCACTGTAGAGTGGCATTTGCAATCCAAACATGGCAGGATCAAGTCTCATCAAGCACCATAAAACCAGGGTAAGTGACTGATTGTAAGCACAAATAAAACTAACACAGATGTCCTTTATGAAATGCTAGGACTAAGCAAACCACATTAGGTATGTTTCAGTTTCTGTCATCCAAACTTATTTAATAATTCAGTTAAATGTTATTTTTAACTCTATAACTTTGACCACAGTCATCCCCCTTTAAAATTACTTCAGATTTAAATAATTACTTTAACACATCTAAAACTGTTGCAGTTTCTCAGAACAAGTCACTTGAGTTTTCAGAACAGTGCACCAGTATCTGTCCTGAATGTAGCTACAAATACGAGAATCTAAGTGAGCAAACTGGCAAAGTCCACATCCTTCTGTGCAATGACAGAAATTCTGCCCATGGACACATATAATTTTGGTTAGACAGCTTAATTTTTATTTTTTTGACATTTAAATGAATTCAGAATTAGCTCTTAAACAACGATGGATAAGGTGTTCAAGCTATTTGTGGGCTCTCTCTGAACACACCATATACAAGGCTTTTAACTGCTCAGGTTTTAGTGTTAGGAGGTTTTTAGTAATAAAAAATGCTCAACAGAGTTACTGTCATGAAGGAATTAGGAATTCTCTAGGAAGTGAAATTCCTAGAGAAGTAATTTCTGTTACTTTAAACATTTAAAATGAGGATAAAATCCTCAAAGAGTTTTGTATGTGTGTTGCTTAATCTAAATATATATTTTCAGCATGGTGTTATTCAAAACAATTTTAGCACTGACCAAAAGTCAGAGTCACCATTACACTGCAGTATTCTGTGTTTTATAGAGAAAGTGGATGACTTAGTTGAGGTTCTAAAGGAATCGAGGGAGAAACTGATAAGCAAAATAAACCAGCTCTCCATAACAGCTGGTATTTGGGAGGTCCTTGTTCCCATCCTGAGATGGTGATCTTCTGACTAAGCATCTGCTCCTATCTCTTCCGTGTGAAGTTTGGCATACCCTTTCACATTAGTTTGCTGTTTGGTTCTAACTATGCCGTCTTGAACTTCTTCATCTTTTCAAGGCAAACATGGGTTTTGCTCCATGACAGATGACTTTAAAAACTCGAGTGGACAAGCATTTTTAATTAGAGTCAAACCAAAGTCAAATCAGGCTGAAATAAACTGCATTCTGTTCTAGCACATTAGCCCTTAAATAAATAGCAAGAAGCCTGGGCTGCCCTTGTACAGCAGGTGGCATTACAGGTAATATTTATCATACTCCAATCCCAAGGCTAAGATAGCAGGGAGGGAGCATTGACGTCAGCTACAAGTGAATCAGTCTTAATACAAGCTGAAAAACTGCTTGTGCCTTCCACAGTTGATGACATTGCACAGCACTTCTGCTTAGAGTTCCCCATTGCATTTATTGGTCTGAGCAAGCCTAGCAGGAAGAGCTCATTTTGTTTTGCAGCTTAACTGAACTGGTTGGAAGTGGATCTTGGACTTTGAGGTGGGAAGATTCCATCCAGCTGCAGTAACCAGGGGAATGCCCTTTGCCCTAGTTTTTGTGCCAAATTTGTGCATTTGAGAATTTTAAACAAATATCACTTGGCAGGATATCAACCCTCAGGGTACAAGAATAATGCAGAGTGAGGCTGCAGAAGGGCATGTCCTGGAAGGGATTTATGGGAGACCTATCAGGACTCATACTGAACAGTGGGAAAAACCAAACGCCCTGTTTCATTTCAAACGGTTGTTCTTTGTCTCATGGGAGCTGAGTGAGCTTCTGAATGAAAACCAACAGCAGTTTTGCATCTGGGCACAGTGTGAGTGAAAGAGTACAGTGCAGGAGTGAAAGAGTTCAGCAGTGGTCACTAATTCTCATATGGAAGATGCCACCTTCCTCGTGTCTGGGTGCTGAGCAGGGATTGAGGAGCATGAGCTAGCGTGGGAGCCCTTACTGAAACATGGGGCTGTGCTCTACCAAGTGTGTTTGACAGCCTTGTGCTCACACTGAGTTTCCCAACCCGTGGCTGATTGGCAAAGCAGTACAGAGAGTGTCTCATCCAGCTCTGGGAAACACACCATGCTTCCAACCAAACCTGGGTTCTCCATGGCTCAACACAGTGTGTTCCCAGAGCTGGATGGCAGTGTGCACCCAGCCACTGCAGGACACATCAGCCTGTGCTACCCAGAGCTGCCCAGCATTGCACAAGCTGTTAATGAAATGGGGGTGAGGCCAGGCTGGACTTATCCTAGAAGGGAACTGGACAAGAAGGTGGAAGAATGAGAGCGAGGCAGGGAAAGAATGACTCTGGAGGAAACTCTTGACAATATGTGCTTCCCTTTCCTGCTAGTGATACAGGAGGGGTGAGGCAGCAATGCTTGTGGTGGAGGAGAGCCACCTTGCCAGTGCTGTTTGTCATCTCACACACCCTGATAGGCCTTGGCAGCAGCACACCCTTATCTCCAGTGCACTGGCAAATTTGTCTGGGCAGTGAGTTCCCAGCTCACCAAGGCCTGGGCTGCTCTTTGTGTTCACTGCACGCTCCTTCTCCGCATTAATTAATTTGGTAGTGAGTTTGGATACCACTTCAGCTTTAGGTGGAAAATCTTCAGGCATCGCTTAAGCCTTTTGTGGCTTAAAGGGAATATTGTCTCTGTCAAGATGCACAGCAAGTGAAATGCCTCCTGTCTCTTAGTGCTGTTATAATGACGGTGCTGGGCTGGGTCTGTGAGTGTGTCGCTGCTCTTCCTTTCACTGGAGCCAGCCTGAGGTTCAGGTTTCACACCTGCCTCTGCTTTATTTATGCCTATTGTGTTATATTTACATATCTCGGGTTATGGAACGTGGCAGCAGCCTCCTCGGGAAGCATTAAGTGAATTCACATGTGTTGTGCACTGACCTGCTGGGGACTTCCCAAAGGACATGCCCTTTCCTTGTCCACAAGCAGCACAGAGGAGCTGCAGAAGACAAGGAACTGGGTTTCTGAGTGCAAGTGGCTGTATAAAGCTGTGATGCCTTGAAGTTGTCAGTGTCTTTGAAGTTGCACAGGGGGACACTGGAAAGTTGTGTTGTTGCCTCTGGATCATGCTCACCTGCAATTACCATGATGTTCGTGGGTTTTGCATTGATGACTGTGTGCTATGGCCTTCTGCTGAGGGCTTTATTTGGCATTTCACATCCCTGCTCCAAAACATTCTCCACTTTCATGGATTTCCACAGAAGCCACACAAACATCACGTGCCACAGTGAGCTGGCACTATCCCTCACTGCACCCACGGGGGGAACAGGACTTGTCCTTTAAAGTTAGGTTTTTATGCGGTGTGACTCACATCACCTGCCTCAACAGCCAGAAAACACAAGTGGCCACTGAAGCCCTTCAAGTTATTTGGAGCACGCCAGACATGTGGCTCGGGCTGGGCATGGAGGGCCGGTATCTGGGTTAGGTGCAGCCCTATTCACCCCGCTGTATTCCAATTACTATACTGCAATTGGAATGGTTACTGGTAAAGCCGCAGCGAACCAGGAAGTGCCCCTCACCCCTGTCCCGGTGCGGAGCGTGGGCCCAGTTACCGGGAAACTACGGGGTAAGGACCGCGATGCCGCGAAGGCTGTCGGGAGCTTCGCGGTGTTATTGTCCCGCAACATGCAAATGAGGAGCGGCCTCCAGCCAATGGGAGAGGTCGTCGGCTCTGGCGCAAGCGCGTTGGGGAGGGGCGGAGCTGACCTCGCCGTCAAGCTCGCTCCGCCGAGCGGCGGGGCCTGAGCACGCGCGGCCAAGATGGCGGCTGCGGGCGGCGGGCGGCGCAGCGGACACGGCCGGCTCTGACCGGGCCGCTCCACGGCGCGGCGGGAGGGCGCACGGAGGCCTCCGCGGGGCAGTGTCGGCCGGCCGGGGAGTAGACAGAGCCCCCCTTCGGGGGGGGAATTGTGTGCGGAAGGCGAGGGCCGCTGCCGGCGAGCCCGGCCGTGAGGGGCCGGCGAGCGGGGCGTGAGGGCGGGAGCCGGCCCGGAGGGGTGAGGCGGCCCGCGGCGGTGGGAGGGCGAGGGGCCGGGCTGAGGAGGGGCAGCGCGGGCTGAGGCGAGGCTAGCCGAGCCGGCCGGCGAGCAGGGGAAGGCTGGCTCCCTGCGGCGGGCGCTCGCAGGGCAGGCGGCGGCTGCGCCGGTGGCTCCCCGCGTTCCTGGCTCTTGGCTGCTGGGCGCCCCACGCCATGTTCTCGGTGCTCTCCTATGGCAGGCTGGTGGCCCGGGCAGTCCTGGGCGGCCTGTCGCAGACGGACTCCCGTGACTACAGCTTGGTGACAGCCAGCTGTGGCTTTGGCAAAGATTTCCGCAAGGGCATCCTCAAGAAAGGCATGTGCTACGGAGACGACGCCTGCTTCGTGGCCCGGCACCGGTCGGCTGATGTGCTGGGTGAGTGCTGGCGAGCCCTGCTCGGGGTGCTGGGCAGGCGCTGGTGGCGGTGTCCCGGCCTCCAGTGTGAGCCGCACGTGGCAAAGCGGCTCAGCCTTCGGCTGCAGACAAAGGAAGTGGTTCCGCCTGTAAATGTCAGTGCGAGTTCTCTTTTTTTAGCTTTAGAAGAAAGCTTTTGTACTCTTTGCCGCAGTACAACACCCACTTCGCTCAGCACACCCGTTGGGACAGGGTGCTGGGTGCCCAGGCCCAGCTTTGGCACCTCACCTGTAGGTGCCCGCAAGGCCTGGTGCCTCCAAAAGCTGGAGAAACGGCGTGTAATGTTTCACTTTCCATGTGCCTTTAAACCTTAACCAAGCCCTTTGTGTATGCATTGCGTTTACCAAGAAAAGATCATTGAAACGGACGCTTCCTGATTTTTTGCGTGTGCTGTGTCCTTGTCAAGTGAAAGGCAAAGTGACATTGAGACTGGCTTCAAATGTCAAACTTTAGTTTCAGTGTTTGCTCTGTCTTGATTGCACTCTGTGGTTTGGATTCACGTGTGAAATGAATCTGATGGGTTCAAATTTTACGAGTAGTGAATAATTAGAGATAATGAGTGGAATCTTGGGTTTGTGAACAGAATTCTTCTGACAGTGCTTGACCTTTCTCCTGTGTAGTCAGGGTTGATTTTGGCTAACTGGTACTTTGCAAAAGTTAGTTTTCAAGCAACTGCCAGAAGTAAATTTTCATCAGAACTTTGACATTAAAAAGAAGCAGCTTTTTCCCCCCCCATTTTTAGTTTTTAATTTTAAACCTGGTGGGATTACACTGCAGTGTCTTGTGATGTGTTGGGGATTCTTCACAAGCTAATGTTGTCGCCCAGAGCTTGGTTGCTGTTTCATGCTAAGGTGTTCCTTCTGGAAGCTGTAACTTGGTGCTAGTTAACAGTGTTGCTGATCATTCTCCAGTGAGCTGCTACTCTAAGGGTGATGCTGCAGCCTTGAAGATATGGAAAACATGTCAATGTGAGATACTCAGCATCTTTTCTGTTGTGCCTGTTCCAGAGAATCTTTTTGCTGTTCAAATTAGCTGTTGGACAACTTTACTTTAGCATGTGACTGAGACTGCCTGCCTTTAGAGTTCACACTAGGCCAGCACTGATAAATAACTGAGCAATCAGGATTTACCCATAAGAGAAATGCAGGATCCCCTTTACTTACAGGTGGACTCTCTTTGCATGGGGAAGCAAGTAAATTTGCGCCCATTTGATGATGGTTAGGGGGTTTTGGCCATATTTGGTAATTGCCATATGTGGACCTACAGCTTGTCTTCCTGCAGGAATCAACAGAGAACTGTGTTTCTAAGTTGAGCTTTGCATTAATTTTCATGGCGACTTGAAAACAAACAGAATTACAGCTCCACTTTAGGATCAAACAGCAAAGAAGGCTTCAGACCTGTATGTCTTAAGCACCAAGGAGGAAATAATTTACATAGAAAAGGTGTTAGTTTGGGTTTTCCCCTGTAAAACTGTTTTCATATTAGTTCTTTATTGATTTTCTAAATACACCTTCCAAACCCCCAAGATCACTGTACATTCTGCAAACAGTAACGCTCAGGATGGGGTTTGATGCAGTCCAACTTGATGCTTTTTCTTCATCCAGAGTCCTTAATTTTACAGACATAGTTTACTCTTTGTTTCTGCTGCCATGGTCATCTCTTTGCTCTCCCTTTCTCAACCAGTTCCACACTGCTGCAAAGTTTCAGCACCAGTGTTCCTGCCTTTAATTCTTGTTACTGTCATCACAAATGTGAGGTTCCTTAACAACTGTTTTTTAAAGAACCTCATAGATGTTCTCCTAACTCAATACCTGCCCGACTCTGCACTTCAGCAAAACTGCCTGAGCTGATTTGTTGCTTTTCAAGCTTCATTTTTCGGTATTAGTTTAATGAAGAGGCTCACGTGGCTTCAGCTGGAGCAGACACTAGACATGGTGAGAGTGCTTGTAGAGAGAACAGTAAATGTCCAAGGGTATCACTTGGAGTTATCCTGCCCTAGTAGTCATCAGTGACAAAGCCATGCCAGACAATGAATTTAACATTATTCTGTGCCAGCCTTTTCCAGAACCAGTATATGGGAAGCATGCCTGTGTGGGATGGAGATGGGTGTGGTGTAACAGTGAAAGAGCTACTCCCAGCTATTTGGCATGAGTGCTTGGGGATTCATTTTCTTAGGTCAAACAAAAGTGTTTATAGCAGATGCAAATATGCTAAGCACTACTTTTGTTCTGTGTATACTGTGTAGTCTAAAGGCTGAAAACAGTGTCTTCTAGTCTGTGCTTCATCCTTTCACGTTAAGACCAACAGAAAGCTTATGAAGATTCATGTTGTTTCCAGTCCTCCCATAGTAGTTAAGGGCTTGATGAGGCCTGTTACTGGTGTACTAGAAGCCTCGAGGGGTTTGACTTATTTTTACTTTGGTCTAGGATGTACCTGTTAAATTTGGATGTTTTCTTCCCATTTGGGGCACAGTGAGAGACAAGAAACTCAGAACTAGGGTGTTTCCTTTGGGATCACTCTGAGAAAAGGAAGTGGCTTTACTACCAACGTTAATCTCTAGAGCTTTATGATTCAGGCCCATGTTTCCTGCTGCTCAATACCATATTGTGTCTTTCTGTGTGCTCACTGTCAGGGTCTTGGTCGTCCACATCCTCAGTATATTCAAATACCTTCTTGAGATGTGATAGATGTCATGTGCTGCTTCAGGTCTAAAGGCATGCCCTTGACTTCTGAGGGCAGAAACACTGAAAACCAAAACTCTTCAGAAACTGGCACCTTTGTTTTTTCTTAATCCATGTGCAAGTGGAATTTTCAGAGCATAAGGGGCAAACCACACATTTAAAAAATGAACTTAAGCACTTTATATAAACATTTCACTTATTTAATGGAACTAAACATGAAGCTTGTTTGCAAGCTCCTACCTCACTCGTGCTGGTGACTGTTTTTTTCTGTTGTTGGGATCTGCCTTCTTTTGCTTGTTCCTGCCTTATCAGGCTCCTGATGCCTTTGCTCGTTTTTATGGATTTTCCAAGCTGTTGTGTGACTCATTATTGAAACACTACAGCAACCACTGTGCATCCCGTGACAGCATCACTTATACAATGTCTGTGCTGGGCAGAAGTTTGGGTTAGCCACTGCGACTTGACAAGTCTTCCGAACTATTTCTGTCCCCTAGCAGTAGTAAGAAAATCCCCCTCTGGCAGCAGCATAATGTCTGTCCACTGCAAAGCTAAAATTTGGCAACTTGTTTTATCTGCTTCAAATCTGGATTTTTAAAGGATTTTTGGGAAGGGGGGTGTTTAGGGCAGCTGTTCTAAACTGGAAGGAATTGCACTTGATTTAAAAGTCAGGTTTGTCAGCAGCCTGCGTAAGAGATGTGTAAAACTTAAGTGCCAAAGCCCCTGGAATATTGTTGGTCTTATTGTCATCAAGTGAATTAGAAGATGTAAAAGGATTTGTAGGTGAAATGTCAAGGTTGTTCTGGCAACTGTAGAGGAGGAAGGGACGCTGATGCCTGAAGGTCATGTAAGACTGTTAAGTGGTTTTATTTGGTATCATACCTGTTAAAGAGATTGTTGCTGTATCACATCTTACCACACTGAAGGAGGTGAGTTGTCTGCTTGCTTTGGAGTAGCCTTTCACCTACTTTGGGAGGATAGCTCAGGACAGCCAGTAATGGGATAAAACTTGTGTATGTGTCTTAGCTTGTAATAGATCAAATTAAGTTTTCTTTTGAATGTGGGGGCATAAGTACTGTCATTTGTAGAGAAATTACAGATTGAGGAAGATCCCTGTTAACAATGATATCCACTGTCGGTCGTAGTTCAGCTGATCCAAATGTCAGCAGTGCTGTTCTTCAGGAGCACTGACTGTATGTAACCTCTTAGAAATGTGGCAGCTCTTCTCAAGAATGAAGCTTCAATCTGGTTATTCTTTACCACAGTGTCTGCAAGGGCATTGCACACAACATGTTCTGATCAGCATTTGCAGTTGAACACACACACTTTAATTGTGAGTGCTCTTGGTACTTGTTGTAGCAGACAATTTTCCATTCATGGGCAGATCAGATTCTGTCAGGAATTACAGAAGGAAATAAAAATAAGCAAAGCTGAGAACAGTGCAGTAGGTGAGGTGTTAATCATACCTGTGTAGTAGGAAATGTTGCAGAAATCTACTGCTGTTTACTTTGCTTCATCCACACTTAATACTGTGAGCCTGAGATTGTTTGTGCTGTAGGTAATTTCAGTGCAGGTTGACAGATGTCTGTCTGTCTGCAGTACTTATCCCCTCTATCATTTAAGTGCCAACTGCCAGTAGCAGTTCAGCTGTGAAAATAAGGCCCACGGTTGCTCAACACCTGGAGAGGTTAAATAGTTAGAACTATGTAGGGAAGTTCTCATAAAACATCCAGGAATAAATAATAATCTAGTGTTCTGTAGCTCCCAGAATTCACTGAGCAACTTCTCAGGCTTAAATAAAATAGGTAAGAGATCTACCTGGTAAAGACCCATATCAGGAGCAACAGAGTATTGTAGCAGGGGGGGGGAAATATAAGAAACTACTGCTTTTTCCTCGGAGTATATGCATACTTTAATGCTTTCAGTTCATTGCTTCTCCTTCAGTTTGTTCTTCAACATTGTCTCTCTTGCTTGTTGTACCTCATTATCACTTAGCCAATTATTCTTCCAGAAACCTTGTATTTCATGCAAGGGTAGTTTAAGGTCTGCTGTAACTTTTAAAATGCTCAGTGTGAATAAGTAACCTTTCCCTTTGTAACTAGTTATCAGTCACACGCAATCTGCCTTCAGGGATTTGTATTTAACTGGGTTATTTCTTAGTCAAAACCTTGAGGGTGGAGAGTAGACACCATTTGGCTCTAATTGGGATCCCATGCTGGTGGAGCTGGTAGGAGAGTTGGTGCTGGCTCTGGGTGTGTGACTTCATGGGGTGGAGAACCTGTCTTAGGTGTGTGATTTATCTCATTGCTGATAAAGCAAGAAATCTTAATCGGTTTATCTCAATTCTGTGTGTTGACAAATATTGGGTGCTGTAATTTACAACTTGTGTAGTGCAGCAGGTTGCACTTTGTTATCATTTTAGCCTTTCTGTATGTGATGTGGAATAAATTCAGTCACAGATACATCCTTTCAATGTTCTTTATCAGTGATTTGTTGCGAACTCAGGTAAGGACCTCAAGACGCTGAAAGTTCAGTGGGATATATGGGGCGTCTCACAAAGTTATCTGTGGGGCATGCAAGGGCAATTCCTGCGGGCATCCCTGTGCCTGCCAGGTGCTTCTGTGTGTGAAGATTATCTGGAGCTGATGCAATGTTTGAAAGCATTCATCTTTCATTTTTAGGACAGGGTGATGCTTTTGGGCTCTGGCCATGGGCAGCTTAGTTTGCTCACTAGCCAGAACTTCTACTTGTAATGCTAGTTATATTAGACAGGGTTTGTTCTGAACTTTAAGCCTGCTTAGTTTATATTTGCTCTGAGACTGACTTACAAAAGCGAGTGGTGAAAGGCACATGTTAGTAGTGTTGGCATAGCTGGCTGCTCCCTGGGCAGTTAAGCTCCTGTGGTGGCAGTCAAAACAACTTCACATTTGCATTTCAACTGGTATTTTATCCCAGATGCTTTTAGCATTTTGAAGTGAATTTTAATAAGTTTCAGTGCTCCTATCTTCATTTGGTCCTACCTTTGGTGCTGCGGCATCAGTGGCTTGTGCTTTGTCTTTGAAACTTCATTGCAACTTTGTCTTGCTGAGACATCTTGATACACCAGATCTTTAAGAAAGCAGAAGGAGCCAGTTTTCGGACTGACACATGCAGCAAGTATTTAATCTGGCAGTAGCATTTGTGTGTTTTCCAGCAGTGGAGTGTTAACTCTCAAAGGGTTCTGAAAGGTCTCCATGATACAGTTAAATACTTGAGAAGGTTTCTGCTTTTGAAGTGATTTATTGTGAAATTTCCAGTTGCTTTATTTACAGCAGTGGTTCATCTCGCTGCAGGCGTTTCACTGTCACATGGACACGTGTGCAATTCCTGCATGGGCTTGAACAGGGAATATCCAAAGAAATCGTCTTTCTGTATAACTTTCTGATGTAGTAAATAGCTTAGAAAAAAGCCAGGGTTGTACAGTGCAATTTCAGCAGTGTCCTGTGGTTCCTAGCCTGTGAGAAGGCTATTTTAAGTTAACTGATGGGTACTGGAAGACAGTATTTAATGTTTTACAATGAAATCTGAGAAAATGAAAACCCAAGTAATCTTTTTCACTTGTTAGAACAGTAGTTAATTGTGAATATTTACAGTGGAGTTTGTCTTGCATGAAAACAAAGGTAATAGAAATAGAGCTTGGCATTATTCCTTGGCAGTGATACTGCCAATAGCAGTAGATCTTGACAGAGGGAAAACATGGTATTACGTTAAAAAACAATCCATTTTTCAGTTCTTGCTGCTTCTGGCATTTGAAATACCTCACAGACAGTTTTGCTTCTTGTTTGCTGTTAAGAAAGTTTTCTTAAACTTTCTCATTTACATTTCATCTGTGTCAGCAGCAGTTTTTTCAGTCTGTTTTAAAATCATATAGTCATTTCCCATAAACCCCATTAGCTTATGTTGAGAACACAGAATGTAAAGATACTGCTTTTACATTAAAACTACACTGAAGGTAAGACAAGATGGCTCAAGACCTTGACGAATGTAAAAATCTTATTTTAAGGCAAAACTAGTAAAGATGGGTCTTTTCCAGGTGGCATTGTGTGATGCAGGGCTGCTTGCATGTGCTCTGCTCATGTACTGCTGTGGGTCTGGTTGACAGCAGTAACTCCTGGCTCTCTGCCGGAGCAGGAGGAAGCATTTGACTGCTCTGGCAGTGCTTGTGAACCATGCTTTGAGAGCCAACAAGGTCATTTAGCTTAAATTAGATGAACTGACCTATCATCTGTAAGAGATGAAGTTTAAAAGGAAAAGAGGGGGAACATAACCAACCCCATAACCATCCCCACATTGTCCACTTTGGGCAAGGACAAGAAATAGGTGCCAGTGATGGTTTGTGAGTTAGTGACCTGGTGCAGTGGAAGTGTTACAGTGGAAGCAACTCCAGGGGCTGCTCCTGATGTAGTGGTCTCATTTGCTTTTGTGTCAGGATGGAGAAGGAATGCACATCTGTCTTGCTGCTTCTTAACCAGACAATCTGTTCTCTTAAGTGTGGTACAAAGTTAAGTGAAGGACCCACTTGTGGACCATCTAGAGGGTAATTGTTATAGAAGGCTGTAGAAGAATGTACATAAAGCTGTTTATAGCTTGCAAAAGTGGACAGGAAGACAGCCAGACAAAGCCATTTCATGGCTCAAGATAGAGTATGAAGTGTGCTGCCATGATTATGGATTCAGATTTCCTGCGTGGTTTAAGAAGTGAGCAAAGAAAAGTTGCTTGAAAAATTGAAAGAGGTCTTGATAATTAACCTTACCAGGTGCTTGCTGAGACTGCTTTCTTGTACTCTATACTAGTGCTCTGTGGTTGCTGTTAAAATATTTCCCAGGAAGACTAGTGTGCACGTGGTTTACTGATTGCTTGAGGGAACTCCGTAACTTCTGGTGGCTTGTTTTGTAACCACCTTGGGAGCCAAAAGCTGTGGGCAGTTCTTGTCAAACATCATCTTCTCATTGCAGTAACCCTGCTGCCAGTGAAGCAATGCCGTGTTCAGCTAGCAAGACTACATCTGGATTGTGTTCACCGTAAAGGGAAAAACACAGTGTAGAACACGAAAAACTTCATGTAAAGCAAGCATCATTGTCCAAATTGAACCTTAGTTTCTATTTCAAGTTCTAGATCTATAATTTTTTGTTAATGATATCTTACTCTAGACTTTTCTGTGTGGCATCAGAAGACAGTGGGTTAATCCAGTGTCAAGCTGAAGTTGTGGGACCTGTACAAGGATTACTTTCTTCTTGAAGAAACCAGAAAAGGCGTTTCCGAGAATGGCAGGGTTGCTTTTGCATTAGCTTCTTTGCAGGGTGTGAGAGGTGAATACAGGATCTGCATTCCTGTTGCATTCTTCTAAGAACACAAACAGCCAAAGCAGGTGTCTAAAAGGTTGTGCACTATTTTTGGGAGAAATCTGATTAATGTTGATAGGCTGTTCAGAATCTGGCCATAACCTCTTGTCAGATTATCGTGCCAAGGGCAGCTCTAAAGCTTCCGTCTCAGTTTCAGATGGTGTCGGATGCGAAGGGCATTTGTAAAGGAGGCAAACTCAGTTTCACCTTCTCAGGCAAATTTTCATGCCGTTGCTAATAGTGGTGTTCTTTTTCTGAGGATACTTGTTCTTTAACACAGTCTGAGCTCTGAGATTGCCTCTTCATGCTTTCATCAGGAACACGTTATTTTAGCTTTATTATTTTACAGAAACTTGCACTTGAAATGGTCAGTCCCTTAAATGCTGAGGATCAAAAAGACTCTTGGAAACACTTCCAAGTAGAGGTATTTTTATCTCATAAATAATGCCTTCAGACAGTATTTTACTTGTATCATGAAGGCCAGTTGAGGAACTTCAAGATACTTCATCCAAACAGCCACCAGAATGTCAGACCTGTTGCGTATCTCCCTCTGACCACCCCCCCCCTTCCCTATGTGCATCTTCACTGTTTGCTTCTGCAGTTGCTCAGCAGCTTCTCAAGCTTGGGCAAAACTAATTTTCTGATATCCAGGTAGTTTTGAATAAGGGAATGAAAAAGGACTGAATCATAGTTTTCATACTCTTGCTTGGCTGAAGCTGTAGGCAGCAGGGTCTCCTTTGAAGGTGTAGGTCCCAGCACTGTGCGGCTTATGTGTGGGTTTTGAATACATGTCTCAAATGGAAGTTTAGTTTCTACAGAAATTGATACTAACAAATAGAAAGTGTTGTCCCTCATGAGCACATAGCTTGAGAAGGATCTTTGGACACTGAATAATAAGGAAGAGTTTCTGTATCATTTCTGTGCTAGTTAAAACCTTAACAGCCTCCACATTTGAAATGAATAAAACCCTTTCTTTTTAAGGGGCTGGTCAAAGGTTAATGGGATCGAAGCCTCCTCTTTCCCCCACATTCCCCACTACTTGGTCTCTAGTGAAGTCAGCCTCCCCACAGAGTCCTCAGCATTAGACTTTTACCTTCTCTCCAGCAAATCAGATTATATTTAGGTTTTTGCCTAGGAGCTGATAACAGGAGTTCTTACAAATGCTTAGAATTTCCTTTCCTTAGTAAAAGTGTTTTTGAAGCAGGTGCCATGTCGTACTTTTTAGTTAATGAATATCATTAAGTGATGTAAAGAACTAAAAACCTCGTTTTGGAAACCATGTCTGTTCATATAACTCTGGTTTTGTGTTTTCTTCTAGGGGTAGCAGATGGTGTAGGTGGCTGGAGAGACTATGGGGTCGACCCTTCTCAGTTCTCAGGGACTCTAATGCGAACGTGTGAACGTTTAGTAAAAGAAGGACGGTTTGTACCAAGTAACCCTGTTGGGATTCTCACCGCAGGTTACTGTGAGCTGCTGCAGAACAAAGTACCTCTGCTTGGTAAGAGAACACAAATACATAAACTGGATCATAATTGTTGTATGTTACTTAGACATGCTTTACTCAAGGTTGCTTTAATATGTTGCCAACATCTACAACAGTTTTGTAGGTATTTCTCTTAATTACCCAAAGAACCTAGCAATGAAGTTGTGTTGGTAGCACCCTTGTAGGTTTAAAAACTGTCTTGATTCATTCAGTGATACAGGGAATGTGTGTGGATGTATCAAAACTGATGGTTATTCAGGAGTGCTCGCAGAGAGTTTGAAGTAGGATGCACTCATGCAAGGGCAGCGTGTGTAATAGTGCTCTCTATTACGTGTGTATAAATAACTGTGCTGAAAACTCATCATGGTTGGTTGTGGCTTTTTGCTCAAGCTATGCAAGCAGAAGTATTTTCAGGCACGGTTTTGCTCATTCCTTGCCTTACTGCTCCTGTTGCCTTTTATGTCCAATGATCTTTTAACCTAATCGGTTGGCTTAAGTCATTTAGAACATACAGTCGCTGGCACTGTATATTATTTTTACAATTCCTTGTGGGGGATTCATTACAGGCCTTTTGGAAAGCAAACCCAAGTAGATGCTTGGCATATTCTGTGTCAAACTTGGATTTTAGACAGGGCATCCAGCTGCCTTGGGAATGGTGAGCAGATAGAGAGGTAACATTTGGGCTTTGCTGACAGCCTTGAGAACAGGATACTTTTCTAAAGGGCATGTGACCTCTTCTGCACTAAGAAAGTGTCACCCTGCAAGATACACATGCTTCTCACCTGACCTTAAAGTTCTATGCCAGAGGAGTGCTATGTAAGCTATATTTAACTTGTGTGCTGAGCTTTGGAACAGATGTTCTGGCATTATATGCCTAAAGAATAGGTTGGAACCTCAGAAGTGACCTTAAGTATCACTAAAATAGCAGTGGTTGGTAATTACCTTAGGATTTTGTGTGTTTAGTAGTGCTTATTTGTGCAAAGCAGATGTAGCTGTAAGTGATCCACAAAGTGGGCCACTGGTGAGGGCTCTCACAGTGGCTTTGTAGACGGAGGCAGTGCTGCTTAGCTTGACCTTTCGAGTGCTGAAAAGCAGCATATGCTGAGTCACAAGATCTGCATTCCACACATGGCCTCCTGGTTACACTCTGCTAGTAGAGTTAGAATTTGGAACTAATGATCCTTGGTGTTTCTCCTTTATCCGAGAACAGTATTTTTGGAAGTAGAAACAAACCCCTGGAATTACCACAGCAGTGAACATCTAGTTTGTTGGAAATGAAGAGAGAGGATCTCATTAAGGAGGATTCATCAGGCAATTAACTTTTCCTTGTTGTTGTGCTTTAAGTCTTGACATGTAGTTAATCATAATTGAATCTAGCAAAGATTTTAAGATAAAACTGAAATGGGAGGAAACTCTGGTATTTAATTAAATGCTGTTTTTGTAGTGCAGAACAATCTTGGATGCTGTCACATACCAAATCTGAATTTTTCTCAAGATACTGCTTTGATTTGCCACTCAGTAAGAGTGGAGAAGATGCTCTGTATTCACTAGAGAACAAATTAAGGGCAAGTGTATTGCAGAGAACTCCCTGTGTTAGGAAGGGAAACATCTGGAGTAGGTGATGCCTAGAGCCAGCTGGACTTCTGCAAGCCTGCCATAAACTTAGCTCATTGCAAGCTTGTGGTCTGTCCAGCATGTAGCTGTGCTTGGAAACTCCCTCCTTGGAAGGGCATTAGGATAGAAAATGAAGACTGGTGGAATGGAGACTTAACTTAGAGGTAGAAGTCAAGAAGAAGTGCTTTAGCTGCATGTCATCCTTTTCAGGAAGGAATGTTCTTCTGATGGATGTGCTGTTCTTTGTACTGAAATTAAGTGACTGCTGTTTACTGCAGAGGACTTCATGTGTGTGGATGGGTATCTCTGCAGTACAGTTGTGTCTGTGGCTTGCAACCAAGCACAGCTGGTGGCTGCTGCTCCATGAATGAATCAAGAACTCTTCAGTGCCCTCAAGCATGGCTGGGATAGTTCTGAGCACGGCTGACAAGTAGATACGTTCCTGTTCTGTCCTGCTTGAACCTGGAATAGCATTTGTCTCTGAAATGTTTTTCCTTTAAATTTGTGAAGTTGGCATCCTGAAGATGTTATTTTTTACACATGTAGATAGCTCTCCAGAGCCATGCTGTGAAGAAAAGCGTTTTGATGTTCTGCCAAGAGGAATGCAATAACACCTAATACTTAATCGCAAGCAGTTTTTTACTTGGCGTGGTTTTTTTACAGCTGATGAGTGAAACTGTGTGGAGAGCACCCAGCATTGTATGGATGCTGCTGGAATTCTATTATCTCAATGATTTTGGAATTTCAGTATTTTATGTGACTTGTGTAAATCCAGTCCTATAGCAGAATGTGCTGACATATGTTGGGGTGGAAAACTGTAAATAAAGTGGAACAAAACAGGTATTTGTCAGCATAATGTGTTTACCAAAATCAGAGCAGGAAAAGTAAGTTCCATGCAAAAATCATAGGTTGTGTTGTAAAGATTTCCAGCATTTTTCTATCTTAAGTGATATTAATTTTGGCATTATTATTTCTGTTCCTCATTGTGAGCTCTGAGAAGTGTTTGAATAATAGCACTGTGAATCAAATCAGTGAAAGACTAAACAGTTTCTGTAAGGGCAACTCCAGTTACCGTGTTCTGTTTGCAGGAAGCAGCACAGCCTGTATAGTCGTTCTGGACAGGACAAGTCATCGTTTACATACAGCCAACTTGGGAGACTCTGGATTTTTGGTAGTCAGAGGAGGGGAAGTAGTCCATCGATCCGATGAGCAGCAGCATTACTTCAACACTCCGTTCCAACTGTCCATAGCTCCACCAGAAGCAGAAGGTGTTGTCTTAAGTGACAGGTAAGATGGAGAGGAACTTAAATCCTTAATCTGTGTATGTGGACAGCTCCAAAAGGCTGCAGTTCTGCTGCTGTGAAGCTCTTTGCACATGGGATTTCAGCATGTGCCTGCTTTGAGGGTTTTATACCTGCCTCTGTCTTTTAGGTACTGTGAACATTTCTCACCTTGTGCTTTCCAAACTCCATACATCGTTGCACTGTCTGAGTTTATGGAGCTAATGATGATGATTCATGGTGGCATATTCCCATAGTCTGTGGTGTGCACTAGGCATATTCCCGTCCATGGGAAGATGCAGCTCAGGAAAGCTGCTCCCTTTGTATGAGGGGCTTGTCTGAACCAGAGCTTTCATCCCCAGTCCCTGTGTACTCTCTCCTGAGGCTGGTCTGGAGTAGGCTAGTTTAGATATCTTGGCACTGAGGTAGCAAGTACTTGAAGAACAGAGCAGAGGGACATGTGACTGTAACTGGTGTTTCCAAAGAGCTGAGTTTCCTGCAGCATATTGTATTTGACCAAAACGAGCAAAAAAAAACCCTGTTTGGCAGAACACCAAGCTGAGAAATGAGAGTATTAGGAAAGGACAATCTGTTCACAGAAATGAGTTGTTTCAGAGGCAGACTTGTACTTGTGTCTTCCCTGAAGAATGTCAGGCTGATCCCTCTCTGACTTAGTGAAGCCTTGCCAGTAATATTAAGTAAGAATTAAAACTCCAGCTTTCAAATATGTGTTAAAATACAGCTTTCAGATAATACTTACATGCTTATTAATGTGATGTATTTCCTGGTTTAGTGCAGGGTGTCCCTGCCTATGGGAGCGGGGATGGAAGTAAATGATGTTAAGGTCCTTTCCAACACTAAATATTCTATGACTGTGATATCCCTCTTCTGAATACAGGGAGATGATAAAGGAGAGTGACCACACTATACAGGGAGTGTAATAAGTATCTTAAGTTTTTGGTACAAGGTTTGTACTTGATGGATCTTGAGGGTCTTTTCCAACGGAAATGATTCTGTGAAACTCCAGTGCTGATGCAGTGAGGTCTGTGACTTCAGTGCCAAGATGATGGTGAGCTTTTGGCAAACGTGAAGTTGTTGAAACTCCTGACCAGTCTTATGTAGGGCTTTATTACTTCATCGTAAGACTGCAGAGAGGAAGCTGGGGCAAGACTCTGAAATTAGAACCTTTAATCGAACCTATTTATTAGGCTGAAATGAAACAATTGTTTGTAGTTCCAGAGCTGTGAAAGAAAAACCTTTACTTTTCTGAGTTTTTGTGTCCTCCCTGGGAAGGCAGAACCCAAAAGCACAAAGAGAATTGATAATGTCCACTGGAGTCAGCAGTGTGAGTCATCACGCAATATGGAAAGGCAAGATAAATGAGCTCCTGAGCTTCAGTTCTGAGTCGTGATTATAGCTCTGGCTCATCTCTGCTCTGTTCGTGATGTTAATAACTGCTCACGGATGTTGTCTAGATGCTTCTGCAGCACCTTTTTCGTCTGTTGTCCCAGTTAAATGTTACGTTTGGCTATCTATGGGAATAGGCAATCTTCACTGTCAGCCTTTCTGAAGCTACACATCAGCCAAGCAAAGCAGCTCTTCTGCTTTCTGGCACAGCCAAATAGCATCGGATGCAGCAGTTCCTCCCTTCTCAAAAACCTTTGAAGAATGTTCAAGAATGAAGGATTTGTCACTGCCCTGCTCCTGAGAATCAGATTTGGCAGCAATATTCATGGTGAAATTGGGTATTTTCTCCTCTTAGTGTTGTGTAAGGTACTGGGTGTGAGCAGACCAACCGGCTGTGGTCTCCTGGTAGCCATTCCTGGGGTGTTTCATATTCCATTGCATTAGAAAGTGATAAAGTGATTCAGAGTCCTTAAGTGTTTTGGCCATTCCTGTTATGAATTGCCCTTTCAAGTACAGCCCTCTTACATATTTCGGATGAGTGGGGGGGAAGCCCTGAGCTGCCATTCTACTTAATGGTTTCCATGGAGATCCACTTGTGAAGCAGATTAGTTTGCGGGATTGTTCATTTGGGAATTTTCAATGCAAATCCTTTGTGTGATAGCTGGAACGTTACCTGTTTGCAGTCACAGCTCCTCTGTTGCAGCTCTCTTGACAAGCCATCCCAGTGCAAAAGCTCCACAGTTAGTCATTATTTCTTTCTTTTGCAGAAAAACAGGTAACAGTAGTGAATTACAAAAGCTGTTGATGGGTTTGTTTGGCATCACTTGGTGAAAGCTGGCGCCCTTTCCTCTAACATACCTGTCATCTTCACAGCCCTGATGCTGCTGATAGTACTTCATTTGACGTCCAACTTGGAGACATTATTTTGACTGCAACAGATGGACTGTTTGACAACATGCCTGACTACATGATTCTGCAGGAGTTGAAAAAGCTGAAGGTAAGTGTGTGTATTGGGAATCTCTCACGTCTTTTTGCACTGGGTATCCCTTATAGTTACAAACACTATTTTTTTATGCATGTAACTTCTGTATTTTATGTCAAAGACCCACCACAAAGTGCTCTCAAGAGACTTTTCAGTTAATACCGTGTGTGAGCAGGGGAGAGGGATCTCTCTTGGATCTGCACCCAGGCTGGATCCAGAAGCAGTGGCTTGGGCTTAAACTGGCCAGGTCACTGATGAGTGATGGAGGGAGAGGAGGCGGGTGATGGGGAGATGCTCAGGAGCAGGCCCTTGTGTTTTACCTGTACTTGTACATGAAGATACAGCATCTCTTGTGGCTTATTTGAGGGAGTGAGCTGTATACTTACGAACAGCGTGAAGCTTTTCTGAAGGGTTATAAACATACAGTCATTGTGCAGCAGTTGGGCTGCGTGAATTGTGAGTTACATGTGCTCCAAGATAATGTTCTGTAACAGAATATTGCTTGGCAACTTTTCCAGGTTAGTGGCCATAAATGGTCTTTCTAAATAGTAAAACTACATTAAAATATTTAAATTTGGATGAGAATATTTAGCTTAAGGCTGTTTACTTGCAGAAAGTATACTTAGGAGATATCAATATGTATAAGCTCCTTGAGGAAAGTCATTTGCATGAAACACAGAGAAGGTTAACGTGTAGAATTACAGTGTGGTTTTGAAAAGGTGCTGCCTGCTCCTGTCCTGCGGCTACATAAGTGGTAGGTGGTGTCAGACAAAGTGGGTCCTGGCAGACACAGTGTCTGCACATCAGCCAGGCTCTCTGTGGTCCCTGCTATCACTGTCCTTTCCTCAGTGCACTGTTTGGGTCTGAAATGGAACGTGTGAGCACAAGCTGACAGAGGCTTTATGTGGTTAGTGGAGGTAGTGACAGCACTGAAGGTGTGTCAGGGCGCTGGCATAGTTTGGAAGGATCTGGTGGGCTGGTCACTGACCTGCAGGGCTGTTACTTAACGCAATAGCCGAATCCTAGCTCTTGTTCACCAACTCCCATCTTCTTGGCGAGGTTGGCCTGGGCTGGAGGTGGAATTCCCTCGTGGAGGAAGGTTGAGCTCCACCTTTTGGCCCGTTTGGGAAAGGCACTGAACTTCCCGTGAGGTTCAGCCAAAAGTTAATCATGGAAATGCCGCTAATTCCCCAAACTGCAGGGAAGAGTCTTGGAGTGAGAAGGCATTTTGAAATAGCGGCGAGCAAAAAGAGCAGTGGTTGTTGTGTTGTGTTGGCTGGAGTAAGGAAAGCCTTGGAGTAACGCAGCAGAGTTACTGAAACAGGAAAAACCTAACATTTAAAATGCAGCCTGTGGAAGGTTGTGTGCTCAGGATGTGTTTTCTTATCTCACTTCTAAAGTTCCCCTTCCCCCCAAGCAATGCTCTTGTTGGTTTGGGTAAGAGGGTCAGAGAAGTGGGACTTACATTAAAGGGAAAACATAATTACCTCAACAGAGCCTCCTTAGGGAAGGGTGGCTCTTCCAGTGTGAGCTGTGAGCAGAGCTATCAAATACCCCCTTGCCCTCCGGTGGGGCTGTTTATTGAGTGTTAGTCTTCTGAGTTTCCAAGTTCTATAAATCCTCCAAAACCAAGTCTTTATCTGGTCAGGAACCTGAGCTCTGGTCTCCAGTTGTGAGGATGGGCAGGTCTAACCCAAATTTAGGAAACCTAAGATGGTGAGGGTTCCATTTGGAAGAGAAGGTGCCCTAATGTGAGAAAGAAGGATCAGGGATCCCTAAAGCTGACGTGCATTGGCAGAACCGTTCCCGATACTGTAAAGTTTATTCCTATAAGAATGAACTTTTTTCCTCCTTAATTTAGAACTCCAACTATGAGAGCATACAGCAGACTGCGAGAAGCATCGCTGAGCAAGCTCACGAGCTGGCTTATGATCCCACTTACATGTCACCGTTTGCACAGTTCGCATGTGACAATGGATTGAATGTGAGAGGTAAGGTGATATTTCCCTGCTGCTCCCACTCTCGCTGCCTTTAAGAGCTCTTGAGCAAAGTGAAGTTCTGTTGTTCCCCAAATCCAATTGGAAAACAGGGTGCTGGAAAAATGTGCTTGGCAGGAGAGCACCGCCGTGGGGTGCCGAGCTTGGCGAGGACACTGGCTCCTGGTTACAGGTCATGGGGAGCTCCTGTGGGAAGCAGCTGGAGCACAGAGAGCACAGAGTGCTCATTCTTAGTTCATTTTATTGTAACCCAATGTGTTCCCTCCTGCCTGAGAGGAGCTCTCCAGGCTCTTGAGGAAACTGCTTGTTCCTTGGATTGGGGTGTGATTGTGGGGGTGGGTTTTGGGGTTGGTTTTTATTGTTGAAGCTTTTTAGCCAAGATTCTGCACACTCTTTGGGGGTTGATTATTTTTGTGGTTGAAGTTTCTGACCCTTGTGCTGTACCATCAGCATCCCCATCCTCATCCCCATGGCGGGGGCTTGGAACTGGAAGAGCGTAAGGTCCTTTCCAACCCAAACCAGTCTGTGATTCTAAAGAGTCTTAAGTGAGCCTTAAGTGTCTTTCCTAAGGGTTGAGGCAGTCGCTGTAAAGCTTGGGCTTCACATTGCTACAAAGCTCAGTCTCTTGGTAATGAACCTGCAGATCTCCCGAGTCCACAGGACTGGTCTGAGTTCCTGCCTAACATGGGACCTCTTCTCTGAGCTGTTTCTCAGAGTCCAGTGGATTCCTGTAGCTGTTGAGGCTTGAAAAGTGACTGCTAAAAGCATTAAGTAGCTCTTAGGAAGACAGGCAGTAATACAGTGCTGGAGAAGAGGCGTTTGGTTTACAGCAGAAATTCCTGAGCAGATCTTGATTGCAGGCTGCTTGTACCAAAGTGGTGGTGGGGTTTTGTACATTCATTTCACAGCCTGCCAGAAACCAGGCTTTCTGCTCTGCTGCCTGACAGCGACTGGGAGGATTCTGTGCTCCTTTTCATAGCTTGACCTCACCACAGCTCAAAAGGAGAGCGCCTTTTGCTGTGTCAGGTGTCGTTGCTACCCTCTGTCGTGTTTCAGAAAGGAGGTGGAGGAAGCAGAGCTTAAGTTGTCTTTAATGAAAGAGCTTTCCATGGGGGGAATCTCTCAGGTTCTAAGGTGACCGCTGTGGCTGGATGAAATAGTTCTGCTTTTCTTCCATTGCAGGGGGAAAACCAGACGACATCACCGTCCTTCTGTCTATAGTAGCCGAGTACACAGACTGAGCTGCCCGCAGCGGCAGCCCCTGTTTGCACCCCCAGCTCGAGCCCCACACCCGGTTTCCTGCTGGCAGGATCCTTCCTTCCTTCGCAGCCGAGCTCGGCAGCCGGTTCTCGAGCTCGCGGCCTGAAGCCCTTGTGAAGAACCACTCTCATAGTACACTGGTCTTTGTCTGCCAGCAAGAGATGAAGAAGCTCAAGGCTTGAAAAGCATGTGTCTCGGAGCTCAAAAAGGGGGAGGATCGATCCCAAGTCGTTACTGCATTTGAAATGTGACTTCCTTTCAAAGGAGTAGAATTGGTTTCTCCTCTTTCAAACTAGATTCAATAGCTACCACCTCTCCAGGAGGGCATATTACTCTACTTACTAGAAACGTTCACTATTCATTAGAGGGTATGTTACAGAACACAGTTTCATAAGCATAGTCTTGTTACAGTGATAGCTGAGGTTTCGTGTTTCTAAGCTCCGGTTTTCAGGAGATTTCTACCTGCTGTAAACATTCTGCTCTTGCCATCCATGGTGTCAGCCTTAGGAGCCTTTTCTAGTACGGGATTTCCAAGACAAAAATCCATACTTAGTTCAAGTTCTATGGATGCAAATGTGTTTTGTGATTTCAGGTGCTTTAACTGTGATCTTAAGGAGTTCTGCAGATCATTTGTCCGTGACGGGCCTGGTATCGAGGTGTTTGGGCTGTGGAGGATTTTAATTTAGTTTAATTTTGGGTCATTTTCTTAAGTACAAATTTTAGCTCAGCGCCAGCAAACTGAGCGGGGCAGAGCTGAGGCCCCTGCAGCATCCGACCCCATCGCACCGGCGCGAGGTGATGCGGCACCGAGAACAGCTCCTCCTCAGCTCTGCCCTCGCTTCCAGCAGCTGATGCTGTTGTTAACGAAGCTTAATTTGTGTTTGGAGTTGCCACTTGCTCGGGTAGCACAGAGCGTGCTGCACCCGTTGAGGTCCAGTGGATCCCTTGCCTCGCAGACGAGCACCTCTCTCTGCTTCTGCTGTGGCAGCAGCAGGAAGTACAGAACCTATTAATGAATAATCAGCTAAACTTACATTTCAGTAACTCGAGTTTAGGGTTTGGGGAATGAACCTTAATGATGTTTACAGTTCTCTAACAGCCACTTTGCAATATGACATTTCCCTTTGAATGACCGTAGCTCCCGTTTGTTCCCCCCCTCTTCCAGCAAGCTTTCCTTTTCCTTTCCTGAGGTTCATACAAAACAAGCTGATAGCTGTAAAGATATATATATTTTTGGTCAGGTTTTTGTTGTTTTTTTTTTCCATTAACTTTTTTGCTGGTAGAAAAGTCTGTAGAAATAAATTAAAGCCATGTTTTTATATCTAAAAAGTCGGGTAATGTTGCTGTTTAGGTGAGTGCAGTTAAACTCGGTCAGTAAGTAATCTTACCTGCTCTCCAGAGGAGATTTTTTACTACCTGGTTTATTGTATTAAAACTGTTTAAGTTTGAGGTTACCTCAACTTGTGTAAAAGAATTTTTGTGGACTTGTACTGTATATTTGCGTAACTATGTCAAGCTTTTATTTAAGGTCATTTAACATGTACCATGTACATGTCATTTTACTATATTTCAATGCACCATGCTTGTAACAGGCATTTCAGTTATAATAAGTGATTAATTTGGAAGCTCTTCAGTAATTTATCTGCTATTCCTAAATTGGCGTCACGTTAGCGATGGATTTTGCATCACCTTGTGATTCCTTGTCAAAATGCCTTAACCACCCTAACTTGACCAAAATCTGATTTTGGTGAGGGTACGGGAGGATGATGTTAATGAAGAATCCCTGCGTTTTGTGCTACCTGGAGCAGTGAGTGGTGGAGAACTTTGCACAAATTGCCAGTCCTTGTTGTTTTCCACAACGGAACAAGCTGTTCCCGGCTGTCTCCTAGAAGGAATGTATCCACGCTGCAGCACAGGGCTTTGTTTCTTGCGTTTGGGAGGGACTTTTCTCTCTCAAATCTTGGGTGTCTTTTACATTTTATTCTCCAGTATTTCCTGTCGCGCTTCTTGATTAGAGCGGGTTTGATCAACTCTTCTTTCCCTTCACCTTCCCTTCAAGCGATGCCCCTGTAGGCCCAGGCTGCTGCACCCTCACCCCTCGCTCTCACTGCGCTCATCCCCAGCCCTCGGTAGGTTTTCCCCTTCTCCGCTTCCTCTAGAGGTAGGCACGGGGAGACGTTTGCGGAGCGGACGGATGCGGATGGTGACGGCGCTCGTCTCCTGCGCTGTGCTCTGCCGCTGCGGCGCCGGGATCGGGAATTCCCGATGGAAGGCCATTGGCCACTGAGCAGTACCCACAAAGCCGTTTGCCTCATATCACACCATGATTCTAGTTTTTTGTATTATTAAGAACAAATTGGGGTTTTGATTTACAAATCATGAGTTTATCCCTCACCGGACACACCAAAGACCAGTAAAGCTTATAGCTTTTCCATCTGTTTATAAAGCAATACTGTATTATAAAGAATTGATATTTTTATCACATGCTTGATTGTTTTGGGGTTTGTTTTTGTTTTCCTTTACTTTCAGATGTGCACTCGAAACATATCAAACCTGATTTCTTCCTATGAACTTAAGCTGTCTGCGCACAACAAATTTCATGGAAAAGGAAATGACAGGGCCCATCCTATCAAAATCCTTGTAAGCGATGCATGAAGCAGTAACACTTCCTAGGAATTAGCATATTGTGGCTACTCACGAGAGGAGCGTACAAGGGCGTTTGTGCCATGGAAGCGTGCGTGAGCGGAGCACGGGCTGACTCCCAGCTGCACGGAGGGGTTCTGGTTGTGGTCAGGAGCTGGTGGATCTGGAGCGATGAGCTGAAGGAGGAGTTTTATACATCAGTGACACTGAACACCCGGGGCTGGTGGGAACTGGGGTTCCTGCAGCGTTGTTGGGTGTTTGGACAAACCAGGGCTGAGATGTGGTGAATTGGAATAACTCTGTGGTTCTTTGCTCCTTTTACAGCTATCTTTGGGAGAGCTGCGCCATCCAGCTTCCCTCCAAATGTACTTTCTTGGTGTCTATAAAGAAGGTTAAATGGCTAAAAAACCCCAAAAAGCTGATCTTGGGACCAGGCAGTTGCAGTGAGTCAAAGAGAAGGGGGAGAGGTGAGGGTCTGGCAAAGGTGTGGAGGATTTTGTGGTGGAATCTCCATCTGTTGGCAATGGATATCCCTTCTCTGTGGAAAAACCCAGCTGTGTGGGTAGGAAAGGGCTGTATGAAGTAGGTTCTCACAAAGATAGCTGAAGTAATGAAGCAAATCTGAGTCTGTATCTAATGAGGATGCTTTGTTGTTGTTGTTAAATGAGACTATCATCTATGCTTACCTAAGAAGCAATTATGTGAATTTCATGTCTGAGGTATAACTTATGCAGGAATAGTTCTGTAAATACATTTAAATGAATTGTAAAGATATTTAATAAATATAGTATTTATACTAAAATGTGCTTTTTAAAGTAAAGTTGACTGCAAAACCTCCGTTTGTCAACACAATGATGTCAGTGGTGGCACAAGGATCACAGCCACTGCCACTGGGGTGTTGGGCTCTTGTTTAGACCTTTCTTGTGGTGTTCCTAAATCCCTGTGGGAATGAAAGTGGGCTCTAATGCTCTGGCAGACAGAATCACCAGTTTTGGTTAATTCAAGATTGGGAAATTGGGTATTTTATCCCAGTGTGACTTTGGGAACACCACCACTGAGCTGTGGTGGAAGAGGCAGGGAGTGGGAAAAGAATAATGGGAAACACAGAAACCTCTTAACCATCACCTTTATTTGTTCAAATGCATTCCTCTGACGTTGGTTACTCAGTGAAACGCCAGTTCTGCACCAACCCTGTACCAGCACCGGCTGTTCCCCAGCAGTAGCGTGTCTGGCTGTGCTGGAGTGGGTGGATGGGTTTATTTCCAGCACTCAGCTTTACAACAGCAGCTTACCTGGCCTCAAGTGGCAGAGTTCTCCAGCAGGAATATGCTGGGGCACTGAGCAGCTGAAGCTGTTCTTGCACAACACGCAATGAACCCCAGACAGGGCAGAACAGCAGGTAATGGCTCAGGATGACCGGTGCTGGTGGTGAATGCGAACAGTGAGTGAACTTTTAACCCAAGTGCCAAATTAGCTGGTGCTGAGTTGAGTCCCCGTCTTGCAAAAACACAGGCATTGTCTGAGTGGGATTTCCACCTCCCAGACTCTGAACAGGTATTCCTGAAGTGCTGTTCACTGCACCAGCATAGAACACAGCTTCCATCAAGCTCTAACTTGCAGAACAGCAGCTAAACTTTGTACAACCAGGAAACAGCTCCACCATTACCCCACCTTGTATCTTTCAAGGCAACCCCCAGTAGTCTTTAGGTTCAGATGCTTCATGGCATTAGAGGACTGGGGAGCTCTGCACACTGCCAAAATCCTCTTCAGTGTCGCTATCTGTTGCTAGGCTATGGGAGGTGTGACTGATGGCATCCTTCTCCTTACAGGAAACTGCTCCAAAAAACAGGGAATGAAACTGAAAATACAGTAATTACAGAAGTCAGAAACTGTGAATTTGGGGTTAATTATTTCTGAAGCTTTTGCTACTTCAAGATCCTTATTAGTCTACAGGGGTTCCAGGTAAACCAGACCTGTCACCTGTGAGTATTCCCAGTATTAAACGTGGTGGTGGTGGTTTTTGTCAGCTCTGCTGCTGTGGGAGCTGCTTCCATTGAAAGGCCACAGGCAGAATTGAATGTAGTTACATGTAGTAACCCCCAGGCTACATGTACCTGAACACCAGCTGAGGTGTTCCACCCTGAATACAACTGGCTGTCTCCTCACCTTGTCATAGTGAGCCTCTGCTGCCTCTCCTGCCAGCGCTCCATGGGCTGTGGTTGTTGCTCCTACCCCTGGTACATCTCCCTCTGTGGCTCCAGGACTGACTTTAATCTGCTTTACCAAAGGACTCCCAGGTTTTGCCAGCTCCGTGCTCGGGGTGTTCTCACCCCTCTGTGGCTTTTTGGAAGCATTTGCCTGCGTGCTGCTGTCTTTATCCATGGAGGCTTTTTCAGCTTTCCCTGTATGTGTCTCCGAGCTGGATTGGAGAGAGTAGGTCAGGTCAGTAAGTGGCTTTTATGTTTCCATTAGAATGTCTATTTTCTGATAGTGAAATCATTATGGCTTTAGAATGGATTCTCAACAAGTACCTTCCCTTCCCCTCCTACTGCAGTAACCCTGTGGAGATAAAAGAAAGCAGAAGCCAGTACAGAGTGTGCTCTCTTGTACTGTTTTATTGCTGTACATGCTGCTAAGGTGTTCCTGAACCTGCCTAGTTTTGAACAGAAACTCCAGTACCCTGCAAGAATGAACCAATTCCTTTTTCATCTTAAATCCAGCTTGGCTGGAACACTTAAACTTCAATATTCCATCCTCCCTCTCCCACCCCTGAAGCCCACCATTACCTTTCCTGCTGTGGTGTAAAGCTGGGTGGTGGCTGCTGGGAAGTCTTCTTGTCAACGTCAGATAAGGTAGCCAAGATAAAGCTGGCTTCCAGCACCAGATCTTCAATGCTGAAAGCAACTGGTCTGAACACACATTCAGAGATGTAAACCAGTGTGTGTAATTACACGTGTTGTGGGAGAAAAGTTTGTGCAATTCTACACATAAGGATTAAAATGTGCCTCTGAAAAGCTGAAAATGTGATGTATTTGCTGCTGAAGGATACGAGATGGCTTCCTGAGGCAGATTTAAATGCACCAATGAGCAAATGTTATACAATACTATGCAGTATTGTACTTAGTCAAAGTATAGTTTTAAATATGCAAGTTAAATTTGTATTTTAAACAGAAAACTTATGGTTTCTTTAGACTATGAAATAAAACTGCTGTCTGCGTTAGCATACTTCTGCCTTGATGTATTTTCCTACCCACACCGTTAGCAAATGCAGCAGTAACAGCTGTGTGAATCTTGGTCTATGGAAGTAGAGGCAAGCTCTCAGTTCATTTGCATGTTTCCTTTTCTAGTATAATGAATTTTCCCAGTGTAGAATACACCAGTGTATATTTTCATGAGGTTGGATGGGGTTTGGAGCAACCTGGTCTAGTGGCAGGGATTGGAACTCGATGAGCTTTAAGGTCCCTTCCAACACAAACCAGTCTGATTCTGTGATTAGTCTGAGAGCCTGAAGCACGCAGGTGACTTCTATATAGGTGCTCATTAGTCAGCACAGGCAGCTTAGTAATGCTGTGCCTGTGTTAAGTGCTTTCTGCATAATAACAAGCTATTTAACCCTGTATCGCAGATTAGAAATAGAGCTTTTTCTGGTTTACTGTTCCAGTTAAATACTGAGTAACAAAACCTGAGTGCAGAGGATTAACTGCTGCAGTTTGTCAGGTGTGTTCCCAAACGTACTTTCCAGAGATGTCAAAATGGATGGAGACAGGAACACTGGTGACTTCTGAAAACGCCAGGAGTCCCTGGAAAAGAAGGGGTGGGTGGTTAAGCACCATTAAAACCAGAAGCTTAACATTAGAATCTAAGTTTATCCCAGATGTTGTTTACTGGCAAGAAAAGGTAAAAGTCAACTGCTTCTAGAACACATCTGCTGCCATCCCTGCCTGGGGCTTTGTCAAAGAAGCTTGTACATGGAGAACTTCTGTGGCCACAATGCTTCTCCAGGTCAGTCACAGTGGCAGAAGTGTTCTGTTGCCTTTCAAAGGCCACTGTGAGGGACTCCCCAGTGTCTGGAAGATACTGGTTTTAAAGCTAATCCTTGACCAGCTGATGCAATAGTGCTGCTGGTCAGGAGGCCTGATGGAGCCTGTCCAGGGCCATCCTGCATTGTCCTGGTCAAGTCAAGCAAATTAATGTGAAAAGTTCTACTTTCAAAACAAGTTGTTACTTTACCCTCAATTCTTTAAGGCAAAACGTCACTTCAGAATCAACTCCAACCTGGAAGTAGTCAAATTCATCTGGATTCAGCTGTATTTCAGTAAGCATTGTCTTTGAGAAATCTGTTTAAAGTAACAAGAAAGGAGGCAAGTTTGACCCCAACAAACTCTGATTATAACCCTGAGGTTGTTATATCAGCATTGTTTGAGCAAGTAATTGTATTTTTAGTGACTAACAGTAATAAACATTTAGCTCATCTCAATTCATTTCATAATTAAAATCTTCAGTTTACTGATACTATGTAGATTTAAATGGCTTTTAACATCACCTGTTTGATGTTCCAGTGTGATCTAACCCAATACCTGCTGCTGCTGTCACAAATCTGCTTTGTCTACAGGCATTCATCACAAATAATATTACCAGCTTCTTATTGCTGCATAGATAGGAAGATCAAAGTGCCACCTGACTTTAACAGGTTAATCATAATTGCTGACAATCATCAGAGGACAATGAAGGTGGATTTAGGTTCTTTGTTTTAAATTATAATCTTTTCCTGTTACTAAGTGGCAACAGGAAACAGGCTCCTCCGTTTCAGATGCCAATTGTTGCTTCTTACCATTAGGTCAGCCCCTAGTTGTTATTAGGTGCATGAAAAGAAAGTAAGAGGGAAGAACTGTAACACATCCAACAGCTTCTGCAAGGCAGAGGCTACCATGTGCAGATGAGAACAAGTCTGCGCAGGAGGTGTGATGTGTGCATGTGAAAATTAAACGTGGATGTGGAAAAACCCAAGCCAGTACCAGATGATGCGTTCAAAGGACGTGGTTTGTTTCATACAGAACAAGTGCTGCAGGCAGTGTATTGCATTACATGCTACACAACAGCAACAACGCTTGTAATGCCTACTTTTCCTCCTTGATTGTTTGGGGTTTTGGTATTTCATTACATTTTTACCTACTCTTTTTTCATCTTTTCTTACAGTACTCTTAAGTGTATGTTTCTAAACTAACCAAGTTTGTCATTCAAACTGTAATCTCTTTAGTATCTTTTATTTTCAATAATTTCTTCTCTGCTTCAACTCTAGTCATCTTCCACCATTTAATCCTTCTTGCTCTCCACTCCTTTAGCCTGTTCCCAGCACAGTCCCCACCTATGCTCTAGGCAGTCATCTTTTTCTAGGTCATTATCCTCAGCTTTGCTCATAAGCAAGTATGAGAAGCATCCCTTTATTATGTGATATACAAGAACCTGTCCTTCAGAAACACAATTACATCTTTAAAATTAGCTTGAGTCAGACCCCATGAATTTAGATTGTTCTCATCTCAGCTGGAGATCTGAGGACGGCAGCATGCAGCACTGCTCTGTCAGGCCGGCTAACGCACTGTATTGCCCTTCTACTGAAATACGGTCCGTAATGAAATCAATCCTGTAATTGTGGTATTCAGATTTAAGTAGTTCTTTTTCAAAACATAAAATGATCTCCTTTTTGCTGTCTGCTGCCATGCTTCTGCTCCTGCAGCACAGTAATTACTCTGCTCAAGCCTATGGCAAGTGACATAATTTATTTCAATTGGCTGTTCAGTCTGATATCTGCCACTGATACCAGGAAATGGTGTCAAAAAACATACTTTCCTCAAATATATTAAAACCAAATCGCAGAAGTAGGACTTAAAATCTCCCTGTGTATGTTCCCTGTCTTACAAATCTCATTGAGCCATAAAACGCACTCTCTGGTTATTATTCTTTTAGTTACCTGTTTTAAAGTCCCAATACTGTTTCATATTTGGATTTTCTTACCAGTGTCCTCCTCGGTGTAACTCTTAAAACAAACTTTCATTGGTGTAACTGATAAAGTTACTTCTTCTTGACTGGTGGGGAAGTGAACCAGGATATCAGCCAGCAGCCTGTAAAACATCAGTCAGTGTTAAAATACCTGCCACAGATTCCCAGCCAGCATTTGTTACTCATGTGAGAAACTAGAACAGTCCCTGGGCAGTACTGGTTGCAAAAGTGCCTTTGAAATGTGCAACCCCTACTGTGTGTGCATGTTTTTAATTGATTTATGTGGCAATAGGTACAGAAGACATCTAAAAATACAGCCAGTCATTACAAAAGCAGATTTGTTTGCTGTCTGTGTATGCTGCCAGATCAGTCTGACATATATATATGTCTGATACCTTTCTGTATGTATAAATCACAATTTTGAGCAACCCTGAGTATCCTCTACTCCTTATTCAAAAGCTTAGGTTTTTATAGTTACATAATCTTTTTATAAACACAATACATGGTATCTATACATAGAGATCTTTGTACACTTTTAATGGCTGATTCTTGTGACAAGAACACACTGTCAGAAGCACAGTGAGAGAAATGCTGTCAGGGAAAGTACAGCTGAACTGTTCTTTGCCTTTGCAGTGACAAGAACTTTGCCTTATTGCACTGAAGAAATTGTACTTTTATCACTGGATTCTTTACCTATGACATTGCAGCTCTGCTTTAGTTGTCATAGGTGGAAGTAGCTTAAAGGTATTAATTCAAAGCAGGCAGTACATGATTCTCAAGGTTAGACTGAGTGGGATTAATGGCAGAATGAGCCCCATTTCTTAAGCTGCAATCAAGCACTAAGGCACAGGGTTTAGGAATTTGCCATTTTTGACTGTGCCCCAATCAGACTTTGATTCTGCCACTGACTATGGCACCAGTATCATCTCCTATAAGATTCTGCATTCCAGAAAGAGAACATTTTTGTATTCATTACCTGGAGGGGAGTTTAAGTACGTTGGGACACATATGCTTTGCAAAAACAGCCTGCAGCGGATCACATTCTTGAAATGTCAGGTTGTATGTTTTCACAACACCTGAGTATAAAGGGTACGAACAAAATCAGTGCTGGTCTGTCATTTTAACTGGTTTATTCAGTATTAACTGTCCTTTTAGGATATCTCAGTGGAGAAAGTAACTACACTTACTCTAGCTGTGTGGAAATAACTCAGTAACAAATAGAAAACTGCATTCACCTGCCATGGGAGACTTCCTTCATTCTAGCAGTTATGCCCTACAAGGATCTGATGTTTTTTTAAGAATTCACAAGATGCAAGCAAAGAGCAAAAAGTGCAACAAATGCAGGGAGTGGGGAAAGGCTTCAGTGTTTAACTGGTACAATATAAATGGTGATAGAATCAGATCTCTCTGTATTTCTAGATAAGCATGAGCTAAGAGAGCTTAATGATCCTTCCGTAATTCAATGTATTATCTCATTATTAGTAACACAAGCTGGATTTTTAATGATATAAACCACTGCCTATCACACAGTGGTATCACAAGCTATCACATCAGCAAGCTGTGTTGATAAATGATGGTTCTTTATGAATTTTACAAAGTACACCTAGTGTTCTGCTGGACTGAGGATGTCAGACCTGTTACTGTGCTAAATAACTGTGTTAGAAGGCGAAATCCTCTACCAAACCAGGATTTCCCTCCTTTTCCATGTGTTTTAAGAGTTTACTCCAGCCTCATTCTAAATGTTGTAGGCAGTTGGCTGGCAATTAATATACAGCAGGCATTAACTACTGAGCTGAAGACTGTTTGTCTGATAAAGCCTATTTAACTTCATTTTAATAAGGTAATGCAGATAAGTATAAATAATGATGTGAAGAGGCTGGAAGTGTTTGGCATAATGCTCCATCAAGAACATTCAGCTCCTAATTAGACTCAATATTGTGCTGCCCTGCTGTTTTAAGCTGCTGCTGCTCCTGTGAAGATGTGTAACCTACCATGTTTGCAGAGGAGCTTAAAAGTTACGTGATGATCATTAATATTTCTATAAATGCTGCATTTCTCTACATTCCTTTCCAGCGTATTTACGGATCTAAATATGGGAAGAACTGACTGTAAAGAAAACAAACAAACAAATTAGAGCAGAGGTTATTCACTAAGCAATATTTCCCCTACTTCTGTATGATTTATATCAAGTTCCTGCTTTTATAGCTTCCCCAGACTGCTTTTAAGCAGATACTAATCCTTGCCATCCTCGCCCACTATTCCAATACACGGCCAATAGAGCTGCTTGCTAAAGAACTGGTCAAAGCTCTCCTGGCTCATACTGGCTGTGAAGGAGAACCACAGAGAGGCAGAAATGTGGTATTCCTTTATCCTGACATTAAGCTGGCTCTGACTTTGGGAACCACAGGGCACAGCTGAGGAGGTACAACTTCCAAACATAATTATATACTAACAACCTTTTGCAGAGCTGCTCAGAAGTGTTTGAGTTCAGAGCCATTCACATACCTCTAGGAGCCTCCCTCTATAATTTCATTTGGAAATTGGGCTAATTTGCTGCTTACAAAGCTGTGCATTGAAAAATCCATTGAAATGTACCTTGATTATCAATTTACAAGGGGGGGATAACTGCTTTTCCTTCTGATGTGGCTGAGGCACAGCTGCCCAGCAGTAGTGTTGAAAAAACGTAGATGAGAAGAACACATATGCATATGCAGACCTTGAAGAATTCACTGATCTCAAGGCAAGCTGAAAATGGAAATAATTTATTAGTTAATATTTATTAACTCAAAACTATTTATGTTGAAACTTTAACAAAAAAATCTCTGTGTTTCAGTACCTTACAGGAACCATAGAGCTTTTAAATCTCAGTACTCACAGAATCATAGAATAGTTAGGGTTGGAAAGGACCTTAAGATCATCCAGTTCCAACCCCCCTGCCATGGGCAGGGACACCTCGCTCTAAACCATGGCACCCAAGGCTCTGTCCAACCTGGTCTTTAACACTGCCAGGGATGGAGCATTCACAGCTTCCCTGGGCAACCCATTCCAGTGCCTCACCACCCTAACAGGAAAGAATTTCCTCCTTATATCCAATCTAAACTTCCCCTGTGCATTATGGATAGTGTCATAGTTCAAATTTATCACCTGTACCATTGCTGGTATTATATAGGCAAAGGAATCCAGTCTATGGACATTTAAGTGGCCCTGACGTCTGCTGAGTTACCAAAACACTTGGAGCTCAGTCTGAAGCATCTGAAGGACTGGAGTTTATTCTAGAACAATCTTGCTCTATGCCCATTCACACAACACATACAAATGAGCAAAGACACCAGTAGCACCCCAAAAACTTTTATATAAAGAGCTTAAACTCTTATACAAAGAGTTTATAAAGGTATAAAAGGGAATTATCTCCACTCCTCACCCTCCCAGCAAGCCAAGATCACTTTTAACCAAGAACTCCCTAGAGAAAATGCTAATTTTGGTGGAAATGGCGTTTTGATTAATCAGAGGCACATTAATGGATGCACCCTTCCTGCTGAGTCATCCTGGTACAAAACATGTTGTTTAGAGGCAGCTTCTGATGGGGGTACAGCACCAAAACCTTCTGACCCATGGTATTAATCCAGATGTCCCGGAGAAGCTCAGGTAACAAAGAATGGAACAGCAGGGACAGTGGGAATGGCCCTTCCATGATGCAATCTGTATAATTGTAATTACAGATAATATGGCATTTGTCCATATTGAAAGTGGAGGGGCTCAGATGGGAGGGTACCTGCAGGAAAACCGCATTATCCAACAAAGTAAATACTGTGCTTCCAAGAGAGGCTTTTAAATTACAATGAATCAAGCGCACTTACACCTTTCTCTAAGGGGTCAAACCAAAACTCATCGCTAATCCGTGCTATGGCGTGAATCGCTCTTCCGAACACTGGCAGGAGAAGAAAACAACGCAATGTGAAAACCCAAAGTTACACTGCATCTTCTCCAGAATAACTGAAAAGGAAACATCACAAATGTTTTATGCATTTACAATGGAAACCAATGGCAGGGTGGAAAACGTCACTCTTTCCTTTCCCTTTTCAGCACAAACCCCTTGAAGCCCGCTTTGCCGCACGGCTCTGAGGCACTCGTTTCCCCCACATAAACCCCTCAGATCGGAGCTCGCTGCCTTCCCGGTACCTCTGAGGTGCGCCCCGGCAATGACACACTTCATGGCGGCCCCTTCCCTCACACGACGGCTGCGGAAAGGGCGGGAAACGCCCCGCTGCGGGGAGTTCTTCAGAGACCCGGATGTAGCCGGAAGGCGGCTGCGGAGAAACGCGTTTTGGTCTGTGTTTGGCCCTTCGAAGGCGCCGTAGCCAGTGCTTGGCGCCGGCCTGGCTTCCGGGAGCAGGCGCTGCGGGCGCTGTGAGGAGCGCGGCGCCGGGCAGGATGGTGAGCGGCGGGGCTGCGCCGGGCTCCGGCCCCGGGGTCTTCCTCGCCCCGTGGCGCCGGAGGGCCCCGGGTTCGCTTCCTCCGGGGCGCGGGGTGTGGGGAAGGCGCGGTCGGGGAATGCTTTCTGTCGGTGGCCGCCCCAAACCCCCCCCCTCGTGCGGGGAGGGCGAGGAGCGCTGAGGAGGGGCCGTGCGGAGGGGCTGTGGCGGCCGGGGCTGCGCGCAGAAGCTGAGTTTAATTATTTTTTTTAACGCTTCTTTCATAACATCAACAATTCATTAATTATTATTTGCCTGTTCATTCGGCTGTATTTTCTTTTCTGTTGCTTTCTTTTGTTTTAACATTGATCATGGTTCACCCTGTTTTTCATTTCCCCCCCTGTCTGCAATCAACTTCTCCATTCCAATAAGGCTGGGCACAGAGTAAGTTTACTCCTCTTGGCTGTTGCTAACACTGGTGGTAAGGGCTTGTCAATGTTACTAGATGATACATATGTCAGATGGGACACGTGAATTAGGGGCTGCTGTTCAAACCATGCTCAGGATTGCACCTAAATGCCTAGTAGAAGCCAGATGGCATAACGATCTTTGCCACCATTTCATTCTGCTGTGACCGTTAAACACACTTCAGTACTTTTTAATTAGGTTTTGTTACTGTAGCTTGCCAAGCTTTTCTGTAATTAATGGGTGCTCAGATGTGATTTGAGGGAGAATATGGGGTCGGCCACTATAGACTGATGCTAGGAGGGGTATTTTTCACTGGCAACTCTTGAAAAACCATCAAAAACGTATTTTCCCCCCCTCTCCTGGGTTGGTTTTAAATTGGCAGCTCATGGATTCAAAGCCTCTTGTGTTGCTTTACCAGTACTTTAATCCGTCTGTTCACCAAAGATGCGTGCTTTTGATGATGGCACAAAAATGCCCCAATAAAACCAAAACTCACTCAAGTTTTGCCTTTTTTTGATGCCTATAAGCATGAAGACAGCTGCATGGCCTAAAAATATAAAAAAGAAATATTACAATTTATTAGCATAGTTACTACTGCTTATATATATATATATATGTGCTGCGTCTTTTACAAGTGCATTTGATGGCTGTCATTTTAGGTACTGTTACTAACAAAGTGTTACAGTTGGAAAATAAACTTTTATTATGGAGCTATTCATCAAATTAACAGGGATGACTCTGTAGATCCAGTGTTTTTGCAGTGTAGTGGTGTCATGTCCCATGCTTTATAGAGCTTTCCATGCCCTTTTTGCATAATTAATTTATTGCCGTTGCTTGCATTAATTCTTTATTTGCACATTTAAAGCCTGTACAGTTAAACTATGGTCCTACTTCAGCTGAATCCTTAATTTTGAAGCCCCATTAAATTTGTATTCTCCTTACAGCTGTTGTACCGCAACTATGAGTATCTAGAACCGATAACAGCAGCACTGGGTGCAGGATGTGTAATAGTCTGCATTATCTTGTCTGCAGTGCCCTGGTTTACTTTGTTTGTTGTTCTATAATCTGTTAGTCTTACTCTGTTGTTCAGAGGTTCCTCAGTAAGGGCTCTGAACAAGCTTTGTGTTCTGGTCAGCTGTTAACACACATTGCAAACTTTCAGTGCTTTTTATTTGCCTTATTTTTTTCTTTGGATAAGAAAACAAATTAGAAAGAAATGGGGTTTGAGTTTTAAGGGCAATTGGCCAGTCTAGCTAGGTCTGTGCTTGAGAACATGTGCTAGGGATAGCTGATGGTAGTTCCTAAATTTATGTAAAATACATCAAGTAGTAACGTTTCTGTTGTTACACCTTGCAATGGCTTTCAGCAACAAAATAAATGTAGATGCTGTAGGCTGTTGTTTCGGTAAAGGCCCCTCTGGGTAATGTCCTGTGGTAGTAAGGGCCCCGTTTTTCCTCAATATAACAATATTCCATCACAGTTTCAGACTTACTTTAGTAAACATCAAAATGCCAAGTTAGAAAACCGAAGAGCACATTGCAAAGCTTTCTGTTTGCCTGTGGTTCTTGTCTTAATAAGCATCTTGTAACCACCTTTCTTTCCTGTTGTGACACCTAAGTTGGTGTTAGTGCTGGGAGATCTTCACATTCCACATCGATGCAACAGCCTCCCAGCCAAGTTCAAAAAGCTGCTGGTTCCAGGGAAGATCCAACACATCCTCTGCACGGGAAACCTCTGCACCAAGGACACTTATGACTACCTCAAGACTCTGGCTGGGGACGTTCATGTTGTCAGAGGGGACTTTGATGAGGTAGTGTCCTCTCTTGATAATAACATTGGCTTTGTGCATCTACATCAAGGGTTATTTGTAATTCAAGTAAAAGTGGGCAAACTGAGGTTGGGTGGTGCAACAGGACTTGTTGCTGTTAGACCTTTAAAGTTCCTTGCATCTTGCCACCTTCTCCAGTGTTCGTAAAAGCAGCTTTGTAGTAGTAGGGCCAGTCACGTTGACTATTTTCATAAGCACTGGCACAGGCTGCCCAGAGAAGCTGCGCCCTGAAGCAGTCTGGTCTAGTAGAAGGTGTCCCTGCCTGTGGCAGGGGATTGAAACTGGGTGAGCATTAAGGTCCCTTCCAACCCAAACCAGTCTGGGATTCTGTGATACGAGTCTAAGAAGCTTTCCCCCCCTCTCTTTCGTGTTGCATAAATTGTTTTTAAAGCATAAATCTGTACATCTAATCTGTGGTTGGTTTCTTTTTTAGAACCTGAATTATCCTGAACAGAAAGTTGTAACTGTTGGACAGTTCAAAATTGGGCTGATTCATGGCCATCAGGTTATTCCCTGGGGTGACATGGCCAGCCTGGCACTGTTGCAGAGGCAATTTGATGTGGACATCCTAATTTCAGGACACACACACAAATTCGAGGCATTTGAACATGAAAACAAGTTCTATATCAATCCGGGATCAGCTACAGGAGCCTATCATGCCTTAGAGAAGTAAGTGAAGTATGGGAATGATCTGTGGGAATAACTACAAAACTCATGATGAAGATTAATGTCGACATTCTAAATGCTGGGGAGAGGAAGGGTTGATAGCAGCAGCGTAACACTGCTGAGGTGGTTATATACTCACAATTAATATGAATTTTTCCCTTTCTTTCCAGCAACATCATTCCTTCATTTGTGCTGATGGATATCCAAGCTTCCACGGTAGTTACGTATGTCTATCAACTAATTGGAGATGATGTGAAAGTAGAAAGAATTGAGTACAAAAAATCTTAAACATGCTTTGGCTTGTCTGGTATTTTTACCATCTCATTCTGAACTGCAAATTCCAATACTTGATTGCTAGTTTACAGTCCTACCCTTACTCACTAACAGCTTAAACAATGTAGCTTCTTGGTAATAACTTTGAAACATCATTGTGTTTGCTTTTCTCTATATGAATTGATTTGTAAAATATTCCATTAAAGTAACTGTTTAAGTACTGTTCCTTTATGTTGTAATAAACTCCACTTCGTAGAAAAACTAAGCTTTATGAACTGGTGTTGGGGAAAAATGCACCAGTTGCAAGTGCTTTTAGAATGCCCCATGCTCTGTTTGGTGACTTCTGAAGATACTTAATTGTAAAAGGCTTGAACAAAAAGACTGGGGGCTCTGGGGCCATGTTATGTTTGATTCAGAATCCAGTTGACAATTTTCTCAACCTAACATTCCCAATAAAATGGATTTATAGATTCTGAAACTGTTGCAGGTAACTCATAACTTACAGTAGTAATTTTACTGCAGAAAGTTTAGTCTTTTTATAATCAAAGCGGTTTCAAATACCCTTATGCTTTAATGAATGATGGTCTCATTAAATCTATAAATCATAAAGAGGCTTTCCTTTATTTATGGTTCATGTCTGACACTACAGCTATACATGCTTTGCTCCTTGTGCAGAGCTTTTGGATATGTAATTCCATATGACACTCGTGCTACTATAGGAGACTAAGACATGGGTTGTTCAAGACAACTAGACTGTTGGGCTTTCCTTTCTCATGCCTGCAGGGAACTTGAAGTATATTCCCTGTATGTGTGTGTGTGTATATATATATATATATATATATAAACAGATCCCATTTTGCTAACCTTCCAATAAAACCAGAACATTAACTTTTGTCTTCTTGCAGAAGAACATTTAGTGGTGGCCTATTTACTTTGCAGTTGTTGGCCTTTGTATTGTGGCTCTTTCCAATGTGGTATATATGCAAGAAACTGTGCAGTATTTGTCACAAAGTTTTAAGTTCTATGGAAAACCAATAGTTTAAAGGATCAGCTAGAACCCTTACTCTGTAATAAGCTGACTAAATAACTTCTATTCAAAATAAATCTGCTTTACCTTAGAGACCAGTGTTTCAGCCTAGTATCTCGGGGAACCTCTGGCTAACTGCTACTTCATGCAGTGAAACACGTGGCTATTGCTGTATTCTGCTGCAGACATACAGAAAGAACAGAGTTGAAAGGAAAACCTTGGCATGCATTACTCAAGGAAGGTTAGTGACTGAGTGGAACAATGCCATAATTAAAAAAGGCTTATAGAATACCATAAGAACAAAATGGATACCAGTTTATTTGTGCTCAGTGTAGATATAATTACAATTGGACTACAAAGTATATTTTACATCAAGTACACCATTTACAGTTTTAGAAACAGTTTATCGTAATTACACAAGGTTATGTTTGTCTGAATGAATTCTAGATGCTGACAGCAGACTTAAACATGGAGAAACACAGAAGGAAATAAACTAATCCTTCCTAAAATCCCTGCAAAATGCAGAATATGAACATTACTCTTGGATAGAAACAGGAAATTTTACTGTAAATCTAAACTGTTTCAACAGAAAGAGGATGGAGAAGAAACAGCCTTGAATGGTTAAAAAAACCTGGAAAACTTAGGTTAAAAAAATGTGGAAAACTCTGATAAAAGAGCACTGAGGTTTTAGATTAATGTTCACTTGACTGTAGGAGCATTCCCAATGCATGGCCCTATCACCAGCAGAGGGAGAAAAGGGTAAATCAAGACCTTATCAATGACAGTTCAAGTACAGACGTCTCTGGTCCATTCAGATACATCTGGAAGGTGAAAAAACACTATTAATATGGCTTAGGAAAAGGGGAGAGCATCTAAAACCTGTGAAGGTACCTGAAAGCATAATGCTTCACATGGCACAGATTTGGTCCAAATAAAATGAATTAATTAATAAAGGGATATTATATACAATATATTTTACAAAAATCAGCTAACAAGTATTTTTGCTAAAAGTTGAGTGAAATTCTTCGTGTAGAAAAAACAAAAGGAGAAAGCACTACATGAGGTGCAGAAGTGGTTTGGTTTACCTTCAGAAGGTCGGATGGTGTTACGTCTGCCACAGTGGGGTTTCCACATTTCTCTTGATATTCTCGAATTAGGGCTGTAGCATCATCAATGCTGTAGGAGGGAAAAGTTTATCAACTTCATCAACTTAAAACATCCTAAAAGGCAAAGAATTCAGACTATATACACTGAAGTGGAACAATGAGGTATGACCCCGTATTTTTGCAGATAGTTCCTGTCATTTCCCATTAGAGGGAAACAAGCCATGACAAGCCTAGCATTTAACTTGTGACTGCTAATAAAATCAGTATATACTAGAGTTTAAACAGTTATTTATTAGTTCCTGTCTGATTCTGACTGCGGGATAGCTGGTAACTCACAATACCGAGTATTTGGGGTGTGAAGTGAAAAGCTGCAGCTGTGTTCAATACCCAAGTGCTGTGAGTCACCACTGATGGATTCCTGATTGAGAACAGCCCTGCAGCAGGCTCAGCAGCAAGCTCCTTTGTTTTATTTAAGTGGAACGTAAGGGGTATTTCTAGCTCTTGAAAACCACTAATTCCTAAGTTTGGAGTCCAGGTAGTTCATTTATTTTTTTTCAGTGCTTGTACTGCTGAAGCTGTGACTCTGTCACCACCAAGCTGAGATCATCTGAAGGTATGGTCAAGTGATTCAAAACTGTTTGCTTTTTCAGGCAGGTCGTTCGTGCTGTTTTAACTGCATTTGATCTGGTTGCCAGTCCAGGCTCTACAAAATAGTTACCTTGCATTGAATGGCACTATAAAACTCTGGCCTAAATATGCAAAGGAGTGAGGTGTGATTCTTATTGTATTCATTTAACTTAGCACTACTTCAGAAATCCTTGGAGACAAGTACTAGAGAATCTCAATGACATAAACTGAACTAAACTAAAAGAGAGATTAAGCTTCTGTTACTATCAATAATGCACCACCTGTTTCACCTTTTATTAACTTACCAGTTCTTCTTTACAAAGTAATCCACCAGTTCTTTCAGTCTGTGAGTCCTCATCAGTTGTTGCTTCAACAGTGGAAAATACTTAGTTTTCAAGAATTTTTCATACAGCTTCTCATTTATGATGCTGTCCAAAACCAAAGATCGGATCTGTAGATTGAAGTTTTAGTAATGAAAAAAGCATTCATATTTTAAACAGAAGAAATTCTACTGTTGAATGAAAAGAGCTCAGAGTTTTCTTGCTGGACTCCCATAGAGGTTATTGTTTTATTTTAAGCTTTGTTTTAGTGTTGAAAATGGCAGATTTTACAAATTAAGAAACTTGCCCTTAGGAAGGCAGCCCAAGACAAAGCAACAAAGTGCAGTTTTATAAGCTTTTTGGCCTTTTAGCTTAAAATACTATTTAGAAAAATACAGTCATAGTGCTGCAAACATTGCTGGCCTGCAAACAGAGCAGCCTGTAACACTGTGTGTATATACAAGGAGTTTTTCAGTTGCACAACATTAATAAAAATGCAAAAATCCCTGCAAAAGTTGCTCTGTTTTACAAGTGGGCAGTACGTCAACTAATGCTTGGCAAGACCAGGGCAGAGAGGAAAAAGGGTTCTGAGTACCTTTATCTTCTTGTCTAACAAAAAGCCCCAAAGTCAAAGGCAAGTGAAGTAAATAACATTTACTGTATTTACCTGAGAAGCAAACGCTACTACTTCTCCAATGTTCATGTGCTCATCTATTTGTTGCAGCACAGTTTCTGCATTACAGGTCGATAAGAAAGCCTGGTAAAAGTAAGTTACAAAATGTTATTAATCTGAGTGATTAAAGTAGAAACTCTTCCTTCAGAACAAGTATTTGATTTATTCAGGATCAATATATTGAATTTCTAGATACAAACATGAAATCATTAAACTAGGCTCTGTGCTCTTTGACTGAGAGATAATACTCGTAGCTTTTAACTCTCACAGGGTATTTTGCTGTAGCTATTACAGATGATTTGGGGTTTTTTGACTTGCTGCCAGCAGAACAAATGTCTTGCACTAGTGCTGTAATTTGGGAAAATCTGTCTGAGCTTAACTTTAATGACTGGAAATTTGTGAATTTGAGATGCTTTTAGTAGTGCCAAGTGTGTGCTCCTGACAACTAATAGGAGTGGCCTTCACCTGGGAGAACAATAAGCAGAGCATAAATTAATGGCAACAAATGAGAAGAGAGGAAACTCAAGATGCATGAGTAGTGAGGAAATGGCTTTAAGGCAAAAGGTTTACATCAGAACTTGGAAAGATGCTTGATATGCATTACAAGAAGTCTACGGGGCTTCCAACTCAGCACTTCTCTGTAGTAGGATTCAGTACTTTTTCTACAGTCTGTTGTTAAACTACCCACCTGGTAGTTCCTTAGCAATTACATACGTTATCATCAGCTCCACACTACTCTAGCAGGTATATGGCCTAAGGCTTGGGTTTTGTTGGGGTTTTTACATGAGCTTTATGGGTGGGATCCCATAAAATGTCCTCTGATTCACAAAGGGCAGAGTCATATGACACGGCTGCTGAGAATGACTTGAAGCTGCTGCTTTTGCTTTAAAAAAAGGAAGTGTTCACATGATCCTTTTTAGAAGGGCAAACTCAGAGCAACAGCCTTTGTGGACAGAAAATGCTGAGCAGCTGTCCGCAGTGATGTATTTAAACAAGCTGGAATTATATGTTACCATCCTTTACAATCTCTCTTGAACATAACACACTTAAATGCATTCCCTTGCACAGACAGAACACAAAATTTACTGTTTACCTGAATTTGCTGTTCTCGCTTCTCAGACTGAGGGATCAGCAACAGGCACCCCAAAGCAAAGGCTGGGAGGTCCAACTGTGCGTATTGTTTAGCTATTCCAATGACATCCAAGTCAGCTAGAACAGGACACCTTCACAGGAAGATTAGGAATGATATATAAAAAGTTGTCAACGTATATACATATGTGATTTTTAAGCTAGATAGGACAATAGAATTTTACTTCATCTTTTCAGGAACAGCCAAGCTATGGGAGTTAAAGTTTCATGCAATGCAAATGCATGACAATTTTCTCTCTTTCTCTCCTCCTCTTTCAAACAGCCAAGGCCGTTTTGAGGGGAAGTGCAGGCCAACTGCTCAGAGTAGTGCTTTGGTACATCTGTATATGCACAGCGGTGTAGGTATGTTCTTCAGCTGGATCCTTTTTTCCAGTGCTTCCTGTCTAACCTTTCCGCTCAAGTCGGGCTCTCTGAGCTCTTGTGCTTCTTTGAGCAAGCTAGAGCATTGTGGTGAACAAGATGATGATTTATTGTGTTTGGTTTTTAAAATAGTAAAGGCAATGCAGAACTGGTTTATGTACAGTGTTTTGGCACATTCATACCATAGGTTTATTGCACTTACAGATGTGCAGCTATTAGATTTTTGTCAAATTTTTGTAGGAAAATTCATTCTTTTTTCTCATGCACTCCATGTTAGTGTTTTAGGAGATATGTTAAGTTTGTGGGCTAAGAAAGAGATTAAGTGGGGTTGGGTATGAGTCCTTATGTCAGGACAGGAACAGCTATCCCTCATGGGGCAGACTGGGCAGATAAATCAGTTTTCAGCAGCCTGTGCTGCTGGGTCCCAGTCCCAGTTCAGACAGCAGTTCCTGGCACAGTTTGACCAATGAAGGTACTGAGTTACAGCATGTGCTACCAACAGCTGGCAGCCAAGCACTGAATTTCTGTATAGGTGTGGTGTGATCCTGTGCTTCCCCCACAAGAGGCATGAGTAAGGTTGTTCCCTGGTTTTCAGAGCAGCTTTGCATGTTTCAGGGAGACTGTTGGATGAGAAATTAAACGGGCATTGCCACTCAAATTAATACAAATGTGGACTTTAGTATTTACTTACTTAAGCAGAATCACAAAACACTCGCAGCATTCTTCTAACTGTTTAGGACTCGGTGGACATGAAGCTAAGAAATAAAGAAAACATGATAAAGTGTAGGTATACATACATATATATCTCCAAGTTACTACATAAGCCTGATAGCCAACATCAACCCTACCTGTGAGAAACGGTGACAGAACCACACTTCGCCAAGCTCGGCTGAAGCTGGGAATCTGTTGACAACAAAGTATTAAGGTAGTAGCCAAATACAGTTGTAACTAAGTGTACAGGTAAACACAGACATCCTGACCCACTGTGGGTGGAAGAAGCCAGTCAATTTTCTTTTTATCCTGGATGAATTATTCTCATAGTCTGAGATTTAGCCATATTGTGACTGATGGCAACACTACAAAACCCTCCAGGTCAGTGTTTACTGAAGGAACCACAAATGCAAAACATGCTATTTCAGTGATTAATAATAATGCTCATCTGCTTACTGCATTGTCATAAAAATAATAATTCACAGAGAATCCTTTCATGCATAACACTTCATGGCACAGATGCTGCCATTCGCATACGCACGCAGGATGCTAAATTCCTGTTAAGTGAAGAAAAACTTACCTCCCATAATAAATGAATCCCAGTAATTGCTATCAAAACTCTTCTTAAATATTGAATCTTTAAAAAAAGAAAACAAAACCCAACTTCATTGTAAAATCCCACAGTGCTTTTGAAGATTTGGTGATAATCTACAGAATTGCATAGTACTTGTTTGCAGATTGAAAACTTAAAGTTCCTTTGGGAGGACTAACTGATGCATATGGAAATGGGGTTTATAGTTCAGTAACTTACCACAAGCAGTAGCAGCATATGTTGTCTCAGTAAATATCCAAGATTTCTGTTAGTCTTAATACAACTGGTGCTAAAAATTTATGATCCCACCTTCCTTGCTGCTAGTACTTAAATCTCAATTAGATTACAACTGGCTTCAATACCTGCTCAGAATAGAGCCACATTGCCAGACACATCTGTTACCTCCTTAGGCTGTAGCAACATTACATGAAGTTTAACAATGAGAGATAGTTAAGATTCTGAGCAACAAAAATCAGGACTACTATTTAGCAGGGATGATATTCTTGGGTGTGTGTATGTACACATATGTATATACATAAACACACAGTTTGTATATATATATTTGCACACAAAAATATGCAAATGTTGCAAATTTATAATAATAGAAATATTTCAGTTATCCTAGGACTTGCTCTTGCCATCTGAAAGCCCTTTTAAAAAACCCCAACAAACCAGAACAATTTAAGATAAAAATTCTCAAGCAGTACTGCTAAAACACACATTCCTCAAAGCTTCATCCATTCAGCATCCAAGAGCCCAAAGTAACCACGTAAATTATCAGTAATTGTTCAGAGTATATTTGTAGTTTATGTATTTTCCCATTCTTTAGAAATCAGTGGATAAAAAAAAAAAAGCCTTTCTCTCACCTTGCTGCAGAACTTCATGCTTAAAAATTCCTTACCATATTGAAACTCTGGAGTTTCTGTAGTAGGCCGTTCCACAGTTGGGTATCGTATACTTTATATTCTAGACTAAGTTCTGCCACCAATCTGACAGCCTAAAGGAGAGCAAGGAAACACTGTATTTTAACATATGTTCATGATTAGCAAACCTGTACTGCTCGCCAGCACATCAAAGGTTGGGGTCTTTTTTGTCACTCTGAAAAAGGAGAGTATTTGGGAGAGTACATACTCACTGGTATTTTTAAATATAATTGTGATTAGTATATCATGAGTAGAGTATGAATAGGACAGAGTGCACTGGAGCAACATGTTCAGAAATACAGGTGCTATGGAGAAAGGTGAATATTTCATGCATGGTATCAAACAAATAATCACAAAGGATTGAAAAATCATACCGTAGGTTCATGGCTGTGATTCTTCCATAGTCCTTTTATCATTCCTTCCTTAGGACTGTTATGAAATGATTCAAAAGTATATGGAATATTCAAGATTTCAAACTCTGCCAGGTAAATGAAGCATTTTAGAAAATACCTGTTAAAAAAATCCCCCCCAACACCAGGAGTTAATGATTGTTACAGAGATTATTATATTATAATTTACATAATCAGGCTCAGGATAATATTGGGAAAGTGTTCTGTTGCTTAAAAGGAAGAAAGGAAAAATAATGTATTTTAAGATTTTAATGAAGTAAAAGACTTTATGGTAATTGCTTAGGGAAACCTTATTCACCTGGAGAATGGATGGCTTGGATCTCTGAAGATAAACCAGTTACTCTAACTCCTGCAACTCAAATGTCATCCATGCACAGTGACTGCATGCTTACAGAATCCCTTACACAGCTATGTGGTGTGATGAGCTCTGAAATGATCAGTTTCCATGAAAAAGGCCTAATTCCAGATTACAGCATAGAAACTCCATGCTATGTATTTTCTGAGTTAATTCTACAGATATTCTCAAAGTAACAACGTTTTGCTGTTGGGGTTTTGCTTCCGTATTTTTGCAGAGGAATATGTCTTTGCAAGATGACCAGTTCTGATTTATATGATTATCACATATATGGGTGGGAGAAAATGCTTCAGTCACTAGAGAAGTTGCTGTGATCTATGCAAAATGGAGCAAGATATTTCCCATGTAAATGTCATATTACTTACAGGTTCACAAATTAGGACTGTGATGCACTTGATTACATTACTGTGAAGTTAAAAGATCTAATTCTGCTCTTCAGAAATACAATTTAAAAACTCAAAAAACAGATTAGTAAAAAAGAATTCTCTAAATACCATGTATTTATTTTTCCAAGGGCTGTTAAAGACCAACAAAACATCATTATTAAGGAACACCTTAAGGAAAATTCTTCTTACTTTACTTTCTCAATGGTTTTCTTGAAGAGTGATTCCACAGTGGTGGTATCTGCCAAGTAGAGCAGACACTTCAGTGCTCTGCTCCTGTGAGCAAATGTCAGCTGAAAATCACCAATTGGCTGAGAGGGGAAGAAAAAACCATGGTGAAAAGTCACAACAATTGGTTGAACAACTAGAAAGAGGGTTATACATGTTTGCTACATGTTTATTATGATCCTTTCTAAGATGGTTTTGATTCATTTAGTGGAAATCATGCTAAATAACAGCTTGGTTCACATTTAACTTTTATACTAATCAGATTATTTGTCAAGTTCAAAGATTGCTGCTAAACGAGGGAGTTTTCTAGATGATTCTATTATTTAAGACTATTAATGCAGATGAGTAAAGTATCAGTGACATATAGTGTCACAAATACATTTAGTAAGTGCGAAAGACTAAAGGTTAAGGTTCTGCTAAAACGATTTAATCACTCTGCTTTAATTCCATCTAAATTTAGCCAAGGTATCACACCATCTTAAGCACATTCTAGAAAAACATTTAATTAAGTTATTTTCAGATATTATCAGCAATAAACTTAGAAAACCAGAGTTCAAGGGCTGCTCTTGACAGCCAGTAACAAAATTCAATGAACACCTCAGTTCTACTCCAAAGGTGGGGAGAGAAACAGAGCTCATACAGATACATAAACTATCTAAAACACAGATAACAGAGGCCTTAGGCTGAAATCTGTGCAGTTAAGCAGACAACACTTGATCTTAATAAGAGGTAAAAATTTCAGAAGTAGCAAGCTAAAATAAGAATTTAGGAACTTACAGATGTAGCAGATGTTGTAATTGCAAAAAGCAGTCTTGAACTGTAGTCCATTGGGCGAGACTGAAGTAGGTAGATAACTCTGCAAGAATGCATTTGGTTTTAATACAAGTGTAGCATCACAACTAAAATAGATGTATCAATACTCATTCAAATATAAATATTTCAGAATACATGTAAAAAAGAGATTAGGGATAAGAGACTGCAGGGATATAGAAAATGAGGAGAAAACCTCCAAAGAGCTACGCTTAATCACTTGCATATGTCTGCAAGTTACTGTGAATGGTGCTTCATTGTGTAAGTATTTGATGATTCAAAACTGACGTTACCAGAAAGTAAAAACACAACCACAACAGTGGGTTCTGAATCACAGTGTCGAGTTTCTTTAAAAAGCCAGATACAGTTAAACTTGCCAGTTAATATTACATGTAAGACAGCACACATACCTTCGGAGCTCTTCATCTTCCTGTGCCTCTCCAAAGATTTCTTGAGTTTTCTTTAGAAAGACATGAAAATGTAGTTGTGAGAATTTTCTGAATTGTTTGGATAAATAAATGGGTCATATTCTTGCTTAAGCCCTGTCTTAAAAGCTGGGCTCCCCTGCTAATGCCACCAAGGAAAGGAATACTGGTTTTATCAGTCCTTTATTTGTTGGCAGCCAACACCATTTTCCAGCCTGCTACCTGGTATTCTGAAGCAGAGGCCTTCTCCCTGCCCTTTCTCACCCAGCTGTATGCTGCAGAAACAATAGCTAATTCTATTAGCAACAGGAGAGGATTCATTCTCTTTCCAATTCTAAAAATCAGTGTTTGTTGATGCTGATATATTTACACCTCCTCTACTCTGGCTAAACAGCCTTACTGTAGCACCAAAGATAAGATTTTGATCTCTATACAGAAAGAAGGGAAGGTATTTCAAATTCTTCTCAGTAGACACAGTGGTGTGGAACAGTGTTAGAAGTCCTGACATTGTTAGTAGTCTGAACTCAGGTGCATCTTAAATAGATGCACGAGTCTTTTGAACAAAAGATTAATACATACATATTCTGTGTAATTGGTCACTTTTCTCCAAACCCAAACCTCCTGTGCTGACTTACTTCTGAGGGTAGTATATTTGGACACAGCCATTTCTCCAGCAGTTTATCCCATATTTTGTTCATGTCCAAATCATTAATTTCAGCTATCTCCTTAGCTGCCATATGGATATCTACATAAATAGGGAGAAACAATGTATTTACAAACTAGTATTAGCTTGCTTAGCATTTTTTGAAGAACTTCATTTTGCTCCTTGGAAACTTGATTATGGACACTCACCTGGATAATCTCTGCCAGTTGGATTTTGGATTCTTTGGTCTATACTGTGGTGTTCATACAGTAAAGTGATAAGGCTTGCTGGCTTCCCAACAGACTTAAAATGCTCTGCAGTGTTCAGGTGATATGTTACTAGAATATTTTCTGTTGCTGATCGCTTAAACTGCATATGTAATTTCTTCTGTAGGACTTCCACTTTTCCACGAGAGTCATCCTTTAGCAAAACACCACAGTTTTATATAAAACAACCTCCTTTTACTCAAAAGCACTAGAAAATTCATCTTTTTATAATCTAAAACAGTGAGCTGAGTAGCAAGATCTGTTCTTCAGATGTGTCCTCATACCTCTACCTATAGGTATTTTTTCTGTGAATAGACAGTATTGGCCATCCTACTCTAGCAGGAAAAAGCCAATTAAGAGAAGTACCACATACACCAGTTAAGACATTGCGAGGTAAGATGGAAAAGGAAAAAGATCTAATATTAGATCTTGGCTGCTAGAATTATTTTATTTGGCAGAATTCTACTCAAAGATGTGACTAAGAGTCAAAGAACTACTTAGTGTTTATTGTGTCTCAAAAACCCCATAGCAAGTTTGATATTTATAAGCAAGGCTGAGATTCTTATTCACCTTTCCCTATCAACCATATAAAAACGAGCCAGAGAGGCAGGCCAAAGCAGACTTTCTTTATATGTACTACTACAAATAGCTAAACAATCTTGGAACTCAAAGCAAAAGTCAATATTGCCACTGATCTAACAGCTGAACAGATTCCAATTCATTCTCCTGCAGCAAGAAAAATGCACCCAACAGGAGAAAGAACATATTATTCATCCTTAAAACCCTCTATTATTTGTCCAGCCTTCAGGAGCTGTAAGCCTAATTTTTGCTAGGTTGTGAAAAGGAGACTGTTACGGGAGAGAGGGCTGGTTATGGTGCAATTTACACACCACAATCCAAGCTACTAACATAAGTGCCTAACTATACCACGACAGTCTTGCAAGCAGTTTACCATTAACTTAGCTGTAGTGTTCTTTAGCCATTTCTCAGTTAGATGGAGACAGAATTTCAGTGCTTGAATATGGTCAGGACCTTTTTTAAAGATAAAAAGAAAGGGGGGAAGGAAGTAAACATAAGTTTTCATTAATCCTTTCTGCAGTATACAGTATATCTGTTTTATTTCAAAGAACTAAAAATAATTATACTATTTAAAGTATTAGGAAACATCTTGTGCCTAAAGAGCAAAAAGAAATTAACTGTTTGGAATAAGTTAACAGAAAAGCTAGTTTAAATTTGGCTGAAATATTTGCTTTTGCTGGAAAACTTGTCTGAAGGTGGTAGGAACATGCAGAAACTTTCGTCAAGACAACACAGCTTAAAAAGAGTAAGAAAAGGATTTAAGAGTGCTGCTGCATTATAGAGTAGCTGTTCAAAATTGAATGTAGGAGACAAATGCATTTTTATTCTCAGACTTCCCAGGGTTTTATCCAACACTGAACAAATGTTTGGTCACAGGCTTCAAACCTATCCTTTTCCTCCCATTACACTTCACCCCTCAAGTCATCACATGCACCTCACCTGTTGGAAATTCTTGTGCCATCTTGTGAGCAATAGCTACAGCCCATTCTGGGTTAACTATGGACAGCAGATATGACTGGATGGTCTGCAAGGTTTTAGCTGTTTCCTTGCTAACAATGGATGTATATCCAGTGTTCCTCATTTCATACATTTTTGGTTTCAGTTTCTTTTCAAAGACATGTTGAGCTGCAGACATGTGTAAGGTATCCAGTGAAACCTAGAAAAACATTGAAGTAGATGAAGAGTTGCCAGAAGTTCTATAGCGAGGCCAAAACAATGGAAAAGAAAGAAGCTATTTTTTTTGGGGGGGGGGGGGGGCGGGGAGAAAGAATTATTTTGAAATAAATTATTTCAGGAGACTACTTTACCTTCATTAGTTTGGAAATTAACAGAAGTGTTGGGAAGGATTCCTCACTGAGTTCTGCAGCTGAAAGGAAAAAGATGTATGATAGTGTCACGCATGTATGATAGTGTCACAGTCCAATTCTGCTTTATCTATGAAATGAAGCACTTTCGGTTTATTGTTAGATTCAGACTTCCATTGGGAAACAATATAATCCTAATTATCCCCAGGGGCCTGGGAAGGGGAGTACATGTGTTACTTTAGTCATTGAAAGGTCGTTAAAAAGTATTTGAGGACAGAATTCTGCACTGTGTACATTGTTTTAGCTCCACTCAAAGCCAGTTATCAGTAGCAATTTAGGAACACAAGTGCGTTCAGAAGTAGTTGGGATGAAAGCTGCATTAGTAAAGAATACAATGAATATAAAATATAATAATAATAATAAAATATTCAGGTAGAACTCTGAAGTTCACGAATAGCAGCGAAAGGGAATTATACATCTATCTAGCCACAGAAATACT